ATATATATCAAATAAATTAATATTATGTATATATATTTATATTTATAAATATTCTATATATATCCTTATTTTCAATATCAGTAATTATTATCGTCGAGAAGATTCTTTATAGATTATTTGGTTAAATACGTAATAAATTGTTTACAAATCATTCGGTATAACGTTAATCGATCTCTTTTAGTTATTTTCGATATTTTATATATATATAGTTTTAAAAAAATAATAATAAAACCAATAAACCATAAAATTGCGTAAATATCAAATATATATATATAATCTAACCATATATATAATAATTAGCATCGATAAAATTCCAAAATATTATTTAAATATATTTAATTATATATTTATCATATTTAATTTAATAGTTATAAATCAATAATATTAATTTAATTTTAAATTTAAAATATTATATATTTAATATATATTTTAAAACAAATATATTTCCTTATTAATTTAAAAAATAAAATATATTAATTTTAAATATATATATATTTAAAATTAAAATAAACATATATTATTAATCGAATTAATTCAATATATATATATATTATATTTTTAAAAATATCTAAAATAAAATATAAATTAATATCTAATTAATTTCCAAAATCTATGTTTTTCAAAATAATATATTCATCGCAATTCCATAAGAATCTGCTTCTAAATCTTCTTTAAATTCCAACCACAAAGATATTAAACATAAAATCATATCAACTCCAAAAAATTATAAAAAATATCTAGCGCGGACCGTCGGACCTCATCAAACACCTATTAAGTTACTATAATTATTATTGCTATTATTATTATTATTACTTAATTTTCCCAAATATTCATAAGCAAAATAAAAAATTATTTTAAGTGTTTTGCTTATTTATCTTCATTTTCTTTTTATTTTTATTCTTTTTTTTTTATTTCTATTTATATTTTTTTAATTTATTTATTATTCTTTCTGTTTTCTATTTGTTTTTTTCCTATTTATTTATCATATTGTAAAAAAATTTAGGATTATTTTATTATATCATAAAAATCTATTAAAAATTCGTTTCTAAACGAAAATATCAAAACATATTTCCAATCTTAAAAATCGATTTGTTAAACAGAATCCATATATATATATATAATTTCCAAATTAAAAACATACCGAATCTAATATATCGTTTCCAATATATAAAGATATGTTATAAATTTAATTTATGAATTATTTTGAAATTCGATTAAATGTAAACGCCATATTTTGTACCAATAAAATCAAGTTTAATGTTAATTTTCACCCACTACCCCGTGTAGCAAATCGATTCCATAACATTGACATCGACATCCCAATACTTTATGGGTTCTTGTTTGTGCCTGCGACGCTAACCGGGGCCCCGCGCGAAATCACAACTTTTAGCACATTTTCGGATTTGCAAGGCATTTTTACAATTAGATGTACATGCGCGGAGGCTACGGTTCCTACGGTTCAGCTTCATATGTATATACACTGTGTTCCTATTGGGGGGGTGGTGGGGTGGGTTGGGGTCTAATTTCCTCCGCTTGCACGCAGTCGTTTCACACACAGCCGCAAACACGCAGCATAGTACAAAACTTAGTCTTGCGTTGTGTCTTAGTAACAGAGCTTGGAAGCCCATAGCCCTCTTGCGTCACCTGCCCATTGCGGAGGTGAGCCATAGTAAACATGAGTTTACTAAAGACCCCGTGGCCGGCACGCAAGCTTTGGACAACTTCTAGAAGCTGTTACAAAATCCATGCCCAAGTCTTTACATGCTCGTGAGATGGAAGCGGAAGCCAGGGTGGTGTCGCAACGGCTGTGGAGCTACGCCTACAGCTTTCAGTTTCGCTGGAACGCACAGGGCGATCTTTGGAAGGCGGTCGCCCGCTTGATCCGCTGAAGAAAAGAAACGTCACTTTCGCCTCGGCGCTTCTCCAAAGCAACCTTTTGTCCCCAGGACCCTAGCACAAAACGTGCCTTTTACATTGGGCCTGCCAATACCAGCGCAAGGTGACCTATTACGAGTTTACCTCCAAAAACACCAAAAAAAACAGGGTTTTGACCACTTCGCATTTGATGTGTTGCAAAGAAACGTTCGTTTCGCGCGGCACTGTTCTCGAAGCTCGCGCCAACAAACTTGGATGCTGACCGAAAGACTTCTTGGACGAAAGAATGGCTGTTTAGCTGGAAACCATTGTGCGTGGGGCAAAATGCACATGATGGGTCCATTTACAAGGGGCGTTCGATCGTTGTTTGCGCGCGTTTACGACCAATCGGCGCGTTGTTTAATACTTAACCGATATTAGCAAAAAGACTTCAGTTCGCTAGCAAGCAACACGCACAAGCATCGCAAGCATCAGGAATCGCCGAACTCTCAGATCGCAGCGGGGACAGACCTTGTTTTGGGGAATGGAATGTATCTTTTTGCTTTCGAAGTGTGACTGTTGTCTATGATTCCTACCCTTTAGCAAGCATTTGGGGCTTTCTTGTCGAAGCACCGTCTATGACCATCTACTTGCTTGCTGGTTCTTTTCTCTGGCGTCTGGCATAGAAACAGGTTGCTTTCTGCCGTTTTCAGCTATGCTCAAACAGCTCTGAAAACCACAACACACAAACCAGCACCCACATGGGCGGAAACTGCACATTCTCACGAAGAAACGTGTCGGCCAAACATGGCAACTGCATCTGTTGAATTTGGTCAAGTTTGGCCCACACTCTTGGACCTAAAACGAAAATGCATGGAGGACAACGGTTCAATCAGCTGAATTCTCAACCTTGACTTTTCTTTGGCAACACACATGATTATAAACATTTCAACTTGCGATGTCAACAGGATGACGTTTTCAAAGGTGAAACATCAAACACTTCAATTCATGACAGCAGAAACTTGTGGTTTCTTCGGACGAAAATGTGACCCTGCGACGCACCTGAGCTTCCAATCGGGGAGCAGGTTCAGATTCCATGGAACGGACAATCCAACGGGGGTGTGTTTTTCCTGACTGTCAGATGATTTTTTGCATTGATGAAACAAAAGCCAGGGCCGGTTGAATACAGTAGACAATGTTTGCCCAATATCAAATGTTGTGCTGTCAGTCATGTTTTACCCCCTCGTCAGGTTGCATCTGAACTTTGCAGAACGTGGCGGCACAAACGTCGGTCATGTCGCGTTCTGAGGGCATTCGATCAGACCTGCATCCTCCAACCTATTAGCAGCCTCCAACCTAAGAGCGGCCCAAACAACATCTGTTGGGATGCAGCAGTTCAATCCGCAAAAGCGACTACAAAACCAGGGTTCAATCAGCTGAGTTCACAAATGCTGCCTTAGGAAAACTGTGTAAAACAAACATAAACCACCCAAATCCACCCAACAACTCTGCAACACAACATGTTTTGTTGCATGGCAGATCGAATGCGACCTTTTAAATGCCTGTCTTGAACAGGACCAACGCGTTCAAGATCAATGTTCCTGTGCTTTCCTTCAATGGTTTCTTGTTCCACACTTTGGAACTGGAATGTGTGGATCATGTTGCTGTTCGAAGGACGAATATGACGAGGATGTTTCGCCCGAAAGACTCCTGAGTCTGGAGACGGCTGATGGTGTCAATTGAAGGGCACGAGAGATCAAAGCGAGGACAGTGTTCGCATATAAGCAATGCTATGCCATGCCTGCTCAGGGGAGCACACACATGTGGGACCCCGAGTTGGCAAGTGTCACTTGCTTGAGATATTCACTAGCAAATCTAGCAAATATCAACGTCATCATGTGCGCCTGATCACTTCAGGTGGGGGAAAGCTCGCTGCACGCCGCAGTGTTACCCCTCTTGGCCGGATAGTCGGAAAAAGGACAGATCGTCCTCTCAACCTGCGTGGACAAAGCCTGGAATCTGCTTAATGACTCTCAAGATGCTACTGTTGTGGTGATCCTGAGGCATCAGAACTAGATAGGAGACTTTGTTGGGTGGACCCCTTGTGAGTTTGTCACTTTCATTGATTGTCCACCGTAGTCTCCAGAAGCTTCCTTGATTATGCACCAACCTTCAATGTGGAGGATTACGTGGAACAGACTCTAGATCTGCAAAATGTCTGCGACTCAGGGTAGATCTGACCAGCACAACCCCAAGTTGTTGTCGGACGGTTCCTTTGCCAAAGTGCAAACCAAACCAAAGGCATGCTCGATTTTGAAGAACGCGCTTTGGCTTGATGGGCTCGCTTACACATTCACCAAAGACTGGTGTCTTTATCTTTTACTTGTGGACTGGGACCCATAAATCCTTTGTCTGCAATATTCCCGATCGATCACAGACTCACGTCTGCCGCGGAGACCCAAACCCGATGCGCTGATCGCAACGGGAGAAGCGGCTCATGAACCTGGTGACCGAAAGTGATCCATACGAACATTGTGAAGGACGGAGATTGGTCGGGAACCTTAGACACAAAGGTCGCAGCATGGTGCAAACACATCTGAGTACTTAAGGGGTGCCTGGACAACCGATCAATCAGTGCTACAGCCCAAAAAATGAACCACCGACGCTTTGTGCCTACTTGTTAGGAAAAAGCACGGGATGAAATCGGGTATCTGTCGCTGAGTCGGCGGGGAGACTCCAGAGTTCTCAGGACAATGCAACATCTATAGCAGGGTGGTGATTGGACAGTCAGGAGGCACCCTTTGGGTGGAGCACCATCGCTCTTTGGGCGGTGCTAGTACCGGACTTTAGTTTACAGGTCATGAGGCACCCTTCCGGCCGTACAGGTTAGAAACAAAGGTGGGTCGCTTGGAAGGAGCGCGCCCGCTGTCGACGAAGGGGTTGCAAATCTCGTTGCGTTCCCTGTACCGTACTGTCTCGCTCGTAACTTGCCATCGTTTGACTAACGCAGCTTGTGCAGCAAGCTCCACCCAACAGTCCAAGGCTGCGAGTGCCGAAGACTCGAGCCCTCAATAAGTTCAGCCAATCGATTCAGATTGACCAGGAAGAGCAAGCTAAATCCGTTCAGCATTCGATGTCTAAACCCCTCAGCACGGCAAAGGGGCATCCCACCAAAGGAGGCCCATCATGCGATCTGCACCACTTAAGGGCTCTGGGCAAATGCCACGAATGTATCCGGCGCCCACCAGCAGGCCCAGCAAACCCGCAGTGAACTCAGCCACGATGCCAATGAAGCTCAACTTGGCGCTGCAAGAATGCTCCTAGTAGCGTCCATGCTAGTAGTAGTACGGCCAAGAGCCTCTAGTAGCGTCCTTGCTCCTAGTAGCGATGCCAGGAGCCCCTAGTAGCTTCTTGTTACTACCTTTTTCGCAAGTCTTCTCAAGATATGAACACCTAAACCGTTCCTAAACCTGAACTTCTGCCAATTACTCTCAGTGAGAGCTCAGTCAAAACAAAAAACCATCCTTTCTTAAAACACACTAAAACATATAGAAATGGGTTTGGAACGATGCTCATGTGATTGCTGAGAAGAGTTGGGAGCTTCTAGCATTGATAACGCGGAACTTTGGGAGAGAAGGTGGTGAGCTTCTTGGTTTGACTGTGCGAGAACACGATTTCAATGCGCCTGGCCACAACCTGAAGCTCAGCCCCATGTTGCAATGTTAAACTGATGTGTGTCTTTGTGAGCTCACTAGAGCTGTATCGAACCACTCCCGACAAGCCATTCAAGACACAGAGGCCTTGACTCCTAGTACCACGAGGTCACACGGTCACCAGGTCCATTATCACGGTCTCATTTAGGATTTGAAGAAAACCATAACCATAACTCAACCCACCATGGAGTTGGTCGTTTGTAGACACCCGTGACGATGTAGTTTCCTTCCAACAACCACTTTAGCACCTGACAAACAACTGTAAACGGACCCTAACGATGTCAGCGCTCAACCACTGGTAAAGCACATGACCTCGCTTGGTGCGTCTTCCACTCCGAACCTGCGCGGCGCCACACACCCAGCGGCGTGGATCATGAAGGGCAACTCTCGTAGCCCATGAAGTGCGGCGGAAGAGTTCAAGGCCCGTGGCTGTCCAAACCAACGTCTCAGACGCGCCCACATGTAGGTTTCGCTGATGCCCAAGGACACACTCTTCTTCCTTGGGCAAACTTTGCAAGCTTTCCATACAAAGGGGCGCAAACTTCCCATGCTGGTCGCTTGTGTTTTGGAATGGGGAGACCTTCTTCATGGGGGCCCCTGCAAAAAAAGACGATATAAGACTGATGAGTTGAGGGGTCACACTACTCAAATGCAAAAACAGTTTAGGTCGGTCCATGAAGTGTCCTTGAATGGCCCGACTTGATCTAGCTTCCAAAGAAAACATCTCACAAAAACACATCGCGTAGGAATGAGTACCCCTCAAAGTAAACAGGACTGTGATCTCTGAGACTAATCACTTTGCCTTGAGTGTAGGCACTTCTTCTTTTCTTGTGACATTAGACCGATGTGGGTCCCCGATTTCGGCTGCCATCTCCGCAGTGTTTTGTAGCGCTTACGGGCGAGGAGAGACACATCCGCAACGAAAGAATCACAAACTTGATCTGCAAATCGATTCTACAAAGTGGGCGTCTACCTGGAGTGTCAATCAAAAACGCAGAAAATGGAACATGGGACATGACCCTATAAAAACATATACGTGTACTCAATTTCGGAGATGTTTGAAACTCAGGCGGTACCTCTCTACAAGGGCATCGCTACTAGTCACAAACGCATTACTACTAGTAGCAAGAAGTTACTGGGAACATCTAGGCGCTTTGTGCATCGCTACTAGTAACAAGTGCCTTACTAGTAGTAACAAGAAGCTACTAGGAACAAGTGCATCGCTTCTAGTAACAAGTGCACGGGCTGCGCATTGGTCCCAGCTGGGCTGTGCACGGGCCAAGGGGCGGGACGGAGGCCTGCGTGGCCTGCGTCACTGCCGTGTCGCAGCTGGCTATGCCCATCTCGCCGAGGCCTCGGAAACCGGCCGTCTATGTGTTGCGTACGAGTGAAGGTGTTGTTGCAAATGGTGTTGTTGTTGCGCAATGCATGTTGCGCAATGCAAAAGGATGCAACTCAAACATGTCAAGGTTTCCCAACTCAATTTCCTGTTTGTGGCAACGGCTGTGCAACAACTCTTGTCAACCCGTTTTTTTGTGACTGACTCACCATATCCACCCACAGTCAGGAGAGTCTTGTGGGAAATGGGAGATGAAACTAAGTAAGACACTTGATGCCGATGCCGTCCTCCTCATGGAAGTCATCTTTGACCTCCAGGTTCCATGCGTCCGCTCAACACCAAAAGTCGCATGTCTGTTGACTGAAAAATCAAAATGGGTTTAACGCCTCTTGGCACCAAGATCGCCAATGGCACAAAATGTTATATCCATTCTAAGCCTTGCAAATTGCAAAATGAAACCGGCTGTCTCTAAGGTTTTCATGAAATGTGTGTATGGGATTGCTAGGGTGCAAGTCAATTGGGGTCTAGAAGTATTCACAGTTTTGACTTTGGGACTCTTGCACCAGAACCCAAGCAGTGACATCAGGTCTGTGTATCGTGGATCCTTCGCCTGCCTGGTGGATCTGCAATACAAAAGGAGCTCGCAAACAAGCTACATATTCAGTCAACCCGCCACGACTTGATTTAAATCTATCGATCTATCTATCCATCGATCTATCTATCTATCTATCCATCGATCTATCCACCGATCTATCTGTCTATCCATCGATCTAGCTACCTATCGATCTGTCTATTTATCCATCGCTCTATCCATCGATCTATCTATCTATCTATCCATTGATCTATCTAGCCTTTTTGGTGCTCAAAAAAGGGTAGGCAGGAAAGCTAGAGGGGCCATGCCTCACATGCGCTCTCAAAGGGGCGTCATTAACCCGAAGTTGCTTTGACAGAAAACAAAGGAGACTTTGTCCCTTTTATCGTGGACGCATCTTGACACACGCATCGTGACTTCCGTCTTCTTTGATGACATCACCAAACCCTTCGGCTTCGAAAGGGCTTACGGAACTGCAGCTCTCACAGAGACAAGGGTGGAGTTGTTGAAATTACTAACCTTGAGGAATTTGTTTTGTATTCACAGCGCTTCGCGCTTGAAGCCGCCCGCACGGAGTGTGTGCGTCGGTCTGTCTCGGTCTGTCTGTCTCGGTGTCTGTCTCGGTCTGTCAGTCTGTCAGTCTGTCTGTCTGTCTGTCTGTTTTGGCCAGGTAGGACACACAAACGAACACGCCCACGATGTCAATAGTGCAACCTCCCCGGGCTGCATAGCCGGCATCGCGAACGTTTACCTCCGAAGATATCTACTTTTATCAATCTTCAAAAAACATCAAAAAACTCTCACAAACACACCATTTTCCAAAATGCAAAGGGCCCCCCCAAGCTAAAGCTTATTAAGCGGATTGATCCAGCAGCATTCTTGCGAAGCCTCCACAACGCCTCGGCACCTTCGGTGCGATTTATTTGTCTTTTCTTGTTTTTTTAGGGGGGTAGGCCGCGAGTGAAGGTAGCTACGGAGTCGCCAGTAGCTTACTCAAGCTACTAGCAACTTGACGCAGGATAGCTCGCACTACTGTAATGATTTGGTTCCTAGAAGTTCCTAGACCTTTAGCGGAACTTAACCAATAGCAGCTACTAGTAGATGTGGTAGATATGGACCTATCGCCTTCAGTGCCCCTTTTTTTTGTCGACAGTTTGGTCCTTCCGTTACAAAGCTCTCTGGGGACGGAGGAACGAAACGTCTCCAAGTAGGTTTACGGTTTGGTCTGCCTTGAAAAAACGAATCAAACATGTGCCCAGGAAATTTTCGGAAATCCGAGGATCGACAAGAAGGTCCGGCGCGTTGAAAAAGCATTGAGATCAACACGTCTTTTCGGTGGTTTCTGCTCTGCCTTGTCACTCCGCAACCTTGAATTCATTGCAAACAATCTTGGACGACCTGAGGATGAATAATGGTGGAAGAGCCCTCGCTCTTGACGAGATTGTACACTACCTCTAGGGGGAGTTGGCCGTAGCCAGGCCTGGCATAGCCGTACCCATGTCTAAAACAAAAAGGGTGTCCCGCTCAGCCTTCGGCCCGATGTCTCAAGCTCCATCATCTTCCAGGGGTCATTCCTCATTTGGTGAGTGGCAATGTCAAATGAACCGTCCCATTTTGCTAACGACAACATGCTTCTATCTCGGTCTGCTTGGTTCGGGCCATCCAGACAATGGGCTGCAAACTTGTCAGTTCTTGATCATGTTTGGAACCCTTGATAGCCATCGGCAGCCCTGATCATGTTGGAACTTGCATTCTTAATGATTATCCGAGCTTCTCTGGGACATTCGGCAAATGCTCCAAAGTGATCAGCTGAGCCGGGTCTGCGTTGTCTCCTCTCAGAATAAAAAAACAATATACATTTGTTGTCAGTACAAAGAGTGTGTATTTTTCCTTCAAAGGGAGCAAAGAAAAGAACACTTGTAACATATTTGCTCTGAGCTCTGAGGATCCTAGCCAATGCAATCAACTTCCAGGCAAACTGTTAGGTCCTTCTCAAACGATTCAGGAGCTATTGTATAAGGAAACCTGGGATTTCAGGATATTCTGGCAACAAGGCATCCTGGCATGTTCACCTAGCGCAGGCAGGGCCCGGGAGGGGGGCTCTTTCATGCTTTTTCCGTAGCAAACGTGCCAAGGACCAAGGACTGCTTTGGAAGTCATCCATCAATCTATAATCGTTGTTTCTTGGGCTTCAAACCTGCATCTGCATCAATTCCACGCCGGTGTTTGTCGTCTTTGGTCTCCGTTGCTGGGAGAATCTCCTGCCGTGTTGAGTTTGAGAAGACCCGGCCCTGCGGGGTTCACTGGAAGCAACTCACGTGTGACGATCTCATCTTCCACCACTTCGGCCAACATCAGCGCTGGGATCCTGATTTGTCGCAGTAGCATGAAGTGGGTCATGCTGACGGGCGATAGAATTTGGTTTAAAAAGTGAATTTCTTATATTATCTTATAATATCCTTCCATATCCCTTCATGTTCTCTTGAACTATGACCAGCTTGCCAACACAACCTCTGGCCCCTTGTGGAAAGCGGTAACTCTTAGAGCTGCCGAATCCTTAAGCATCTGATCATCTGACTTCATCAGTGGTTCAGTGATTCAGTGTCCTTTTTCTCTGTGCATTCTGGAAAATCAAGAATATGTCAGCCAGTGCTTCCGAAATAACACTGATATAATGCAATATATGTCCCTCTGCAATTTCGTCGTCGACAAGCAACTCGTGTTGATCAAAGAAAACCGTCAGGGTTAGTCGGGATGACACAGCGTTTGGTACCCGCACAACTTCTCACACCCTCACACCCCAAAAGCAGATTCCAGATTCCAAACTGGCGGTCCGGGGAGAGCTGGAGCAGCTGGAGCAAATGCATCTGGATTACTTTCAGCCGAGGATCAAAACGGTTGCGGACAGGTTGAAGGCGGGAGCCCAAGGGCCATCGACTTCAGAACTTTGATAAATCATGGCCCGCACAGCCACCAGCGCCAGCACCAGCACAAACCTTGACCGCATCTGCGTTGTGCATCTGACCAAAAAAAGAATTCCAAGCATCATTGCAGGAAGAAAACAACTATATAGGCTAGGTGGTTTTAGCATCTGAATTCAGGCACCAGTGGGAACCAGTGCCAAAAACGCATAGCTCTATATCAAGTCAAGAAACCGGTAGTAACCACAATAGATCTTCAGCTCATCATGAAATTTGCTCCAGCCCGTTGGCGCGAAAATGGCCATTGCTGCTGGGCCCCCCTTTGAGCTTTTTGGTGAGCTGGATGAGCATGAAGCGAGACCAGCCAAGTCGAGCCGATAGGTTCAATGCCACCTTAGCTCGTTCAAGATCGGAGAAAATGTCCCGGCACGACGCACGGCGCGACGCACGGCGCCCTTTGCGGGATGCTCTGGATTTCGTGAGGCAAAGCAGTTGGAGCGAAGCTAGCAGGAATGGAATTCTCAAGCAGCATGAACCTAGAGTTGAATTCGAAACACAACCCAAAAGGAAGGATTCTCCTGACAAATCGGCAACAACCTGGATTGAAATGGTGTCGCACGTGGAGGAGATATGAAGACTGGGCCTGACTCCCTGACCGGCCTGACTCCCTGACCAATTTCTTTATTTTTTTTCTCGCTGGGTCAGAGGAACCACCATCCGAAGGGCTGCCAAAGGTCCGATCAAACCGCATTCACCAAGCTAAAGCACCCTAAGCAGCAAGGCACTCCCAAACAAGTGGTAGGAACCCATGCAAAGCCGCCGCTGTTGATGGCTCCGGCCAAGGTGGCTGCCAAACGGCAGGCTTCGGCAAAGCCATGGGCAGAGAAAATCAAGCAGGGCGCAGCCACATAGATTTGATCTCCAGCCAAAGGCCCTTGGCCGTTGATTTTCCTCAGCTTGAGGTTGAGATTGGACCAGTAGAGCAATCCTGCAATGAGACAATTGGGAGAAACTCTTTCCAAGTCTGGAAGCCGCTTGGCAGAGTGAGGATTAAGAACGCTTGCTACTAGTAGCTTCTCCTACCACTAACTTATAATGTTAGCCCCTGTGACCTCGCCTGCGGCCTACACCTTGTGCTAAACCTAAAACAATCCAGCTCGGTTGGGTGTTACTTTTCAGTTCGGTTCCAAATCGTTCACTGACTCGGATGACCGCGGTGCCAGTGCAGTGTTTTGCATCAACTCGCCCCTTTCAGAATCTTGCTGTGATGAATTCGTTGCAGGTCAGACAGTGTCAAGTTCGGAGCTATATCACGACTTGCGCAAGTCTCGAGAGTCTAGTTCTGCAGCCAATGATGGGGTGACAAAGATCGAACTATGAACACCAAAACAGTGTCAGCATTGTATATGTTTTTGTGTGAACGCCTTTAATTCCAATGTTGGTGGTACGTCTGTAATGTTGTTCCTATCGCTTCCAGCTGCTTAGGGAATGGCACTGTTTGAAAAAAATGTTGGGGAAAAACCGCCAGAAACTCAAAAGGTGCGGCCATGTGTCTTGGAGTGCACCAGCCGATCATAGGCTATTCCTTGGATTTGGCACCATGAGGTGGAGACAAGTCAATAGGAACTGCAGCTGGCGTGACCGATCTTTGCAAGCAGTGGTCAGCACACATGAATCTGGCGGAACACCAAACCAAAAGGGACCTATGAATCTTAGGAACTATCGTAAATACCACATGCAAAAAAGAGGTCAGCAATATCACCAGTATATAAACTGTTTGTAGACAATGAGCGCGGCATATTCACCTCACTTGCGACCCCCCAAAGAAATCAAAGAAATCACTCATTTGAGCAACATCAGGACGATCAAGCCTGGACCGGAAACACGGAAGAAACTAAAACTGTCACGCAGCGCCTCAGTGGAACCTCACGGCATGGTCCCGTCAAGTTTCGGGTGAAGATCACCATGCCCGTCTCCCCAAAGGCGGTGCCGAACGGCAAAAAGAAGGACGCTGCCAGGCCTCGCTTGCTGACGGATGCCGGACCCGAACCGAACATGTCAAACCCAAACAAAACGGAACGCACCATGGACCCAAAATGGCCCTTTCCGCATTTTTCGATTGAAGCGCGAGGAAATATGCAAAATATTCAGATTTCCATCCAGCAGCTCTGTCCACTCTCCAACAGAAGAGAATAGACTTGTCCAATGATGCCGAACACAACAAAGCCTCAGCTGCTCCGTTTCATCACCGAAGCGACCTGAGCACCTGGACTCACAGCTCAACTTCTGCGTCGCTCAACTCACTCGGCTTAAGCTGCTGTCGCCGCGCTCTTCCGGTTTCGGTTTGGCGAACCTGCAAAAGATTTGGGTTCTGCTTTACGTGAACCTTAAACCTGTAAAACCATGCGAAGATCCTTGCGTAAGTCGCTGGATTTTTGGGGCTCGTTCACTGCCCGTAGTCCTTGCAGGATGCTCAAACGAGGTGGAAACATTCGGAACATTCAGCAGCCACTGTTGAAATAGCAGAATGTTCAATGTGGTGGATGGACCTGTTGCGCTGCTTCTTAGGCGTGTTTTACTGAGGTTCCGCAGTGCTCTGCAGACTTGCTCTGCAACGCGTCGTCGTGCCCGTAATTTGGAAAACTTTGACTTGATGGGTTTCAATTTTACTCAGGCAATTTGTTCACTTCAGCCTTTGGGAGGTGGCGTGTTCAGCAAGTGCTCCAATCTTGTTTGTGTCAAAATCTGTTCCAAGGATAAATGTCAAGTCTGTCACCAGCCACTGCCAACGAACTGGTGGTGTGGTGCTGATTTCCCACGCTCATGTCGAGAGACGGCGAACGTATTGCACAGCACATCCCTTCACCCTTCAGTGTGTGCTGCACAAGATCAATGAAAACAAGAGCTGAAACAATGTGATACTCCAGCATGGCATGTGATATATGTTTTTGTGTTTTTTTTGTGGGAAGACTGACACAAAAATCCGGACAAGATTGCTAGTTTGGGTGCCTTTTGCAACAAAGCGCAGAAAGAATTACAGTACATGTCCTACGCCGTGTGCCCCCTCTAAACAGGTGAGACGCATCCAACCGTTCCACACACCTGCGCGAAAGTCCACAGGATATGCGGCAAGAGAAGTCGATCGGGGTGACTGTCCCTGGTGTTGAAATATTGGAAGGCTGGCGCTGTCGCCAAACTGGCCGTGGCCTTGGCTGACCCAAATTCCGTGCCACTCTGAGTAAAACACCGCTCAGATGTCTGAGCATGGGAGAAGGAACAAACAACACATAAAACAAAGCACGGATTGAAAGCAATGTCCGAAACGGAACCGTGGTCTCTTGGCAAAGAATTTTTTTCAACATGTAACTTAGATTTCAATCGAATTGGAGAGACTCGGCTTGCACAGAATGACACAGATTGAGACTCTTGGTGTCTGGATTGGATGTTTGAAAAGTATATCGATGAGGCAAGCGGCTCCCACCACACACAGTAGAAATTCCTGACGTTGTCTGTTCAGTTGCAAACTCATTGCAAACAGAGACAGGAAACAAAAAAACATAGATGTCACATACATTTTTTTAAATATATATATATATATCAAAACATTGAACATATCTTAAAGCATTCACACGACATGTTGCAAATCCCAAAGTCTCAGGCAGTCTTGGTGAGGCGTATGAGCGCTGTTTCGGTGGGCTGTTTGCCTATCGACTTCAAAGAAGGCTTCTGGCGGGGGTATCTTCTAAAACAACCCAAGGCACAAAATGTGAAACTCAATGGTAGTTCTTTCTAAGGCAGTCTATATAGTCGCTCAGCACTCCAGTTCACCCCTTGTGAAAAGGTAACAAATGAACACCGAATTCAATCTTATTTCTGATCTTCTCTTCCAACACAAAGAACAACTTAGCAGTGAAACTCTGGGTGTCATGACCCTGAACGATAAACATGGATGAATTTGTTCTCAGTGAAGTAATATCGAAGTTGCTTTCGCGACACCACTTCCAGGGGTAACATATCTCTATTGTCATTGTAAGTAATCAGGTTTTGACCGGCTTTGACTGCCAGGTATTGGCTGTTGGAGATCCATGCATTGGATCGTTGGATACTTTTCGGATCTCAACGGCAGGTCTCAGAGAGTTGAAAGTAGCTCACAGCCATGATGGCCACCGTGGCGCTCAAGTTGGCCACCACATGAGTTCCACCCGACGCTGGCTCCCCGCTTAAGCTGTAGGACCACATCTCGGTACACACGATGTTGCCTCGCATGGAGCAACCCGTGCTGATATCGAAACGCGGTTCTCGCCTCCGTGTTTTTTTGCATATCCATGTTGATCCGAAAAGGAGACCAATATTCTAAGGGAAAAAAACATGATCCATGAAATCATGAGCTAAAACATGCTTAAGGCCATTGGTGGGTTCCAAAGGCAAGGTGACCCACCAACCCCCGTGGACATGGACAAAGAACATCACATAGTCCGTTTCCTGTATATCCCACACTACGTAAATCAAACATATCATCGTTGCCACACAAGCCTCAGCTCAGGAAATTAACCCAGCTGGACAACCCCAATAGCAAAGCATCCACCAAGATGTTGTTTTCTGCGTGCGTTGTTCGTTGCGTTGTTGATCATCGAGGACAATTCTGTAAAACCACAAAAAGTGAAATGCAATCCAATAGCTTCAAAAAAACACAAACAAATTCAATATCCAAGCTAAATGTATGTTCCATTGACCACGAAGCACTTAAGGAATGTTCGACGATGGCCGACTTGTATGTTCAAGTGCTCACTCAAGTATACGTCTGAAGAACCATATCCAGACAGCACAACAAAAATCGCACCATCGAGGGGTGTGTGTGTAATGATATCTTTTTCACATATGCGCGCAAGTTCGATTCAGGCCAAGAATGAAAGGAATAAAGATTATACAGATGATAACTAGATACTATCACCAAACCAAACAAAAGGTGCAGTTGAAGACGAACGCATGCTTCATGCACGAAAGGTACAATGAATGCAGTTGTCAGAGAGACCATACTAATCACGTTTGGACACGCAAGCGCATTGTTTTTACAAAGTATTGTTACTGACAAGCAAAGAGGACGGCTTATCGAAAGTAAGCAAAGGAACTACACCTAAGCAGTGGATGTGGATGTATGTACATGTGCCAACGCATGACTCATACACGAACGACACAAGAAACGCAGCGTCAAGCAACCTAATTTGCACACCGCTAAGTGAATGTTCCACTAAACCCAAAACATGTTGAAATGCAATCGTACAAGTTCAGGCACAACAAACAAGTCAAATATCCAAGCCGCACGCATGTTCCGTTGACCACAAAGCACTTAACAAATGTTCGCCGATGGCCGAACTGTCTGTTCGAGTGCCTGGACGAAGTCCATACATCTGAAGAGCCTATTCAATAGAGCAACAACAAAAGATTCGCACCAAGGAAGGCGTTTCACAATCCCCACTCAGACAGAGAATGAAAAGGACAAATGACAGGAACCGATAATCACGAAAGGAAGAGGAAAGTTTAGTGCAAGACGAACGCGTAATTTCTACGCCAAAGGTGCACTGATTGCAGAATGCAATCACCAGCCAACTACGACTTTATACAAACCAATACAAGGGGAGGCCCCTCTCAACGCATGATTACATGTCAACGCATGATTTATACATTCAGGCGCGGCATGATGCCTAAGCGCCAGCGCGCAATGTGCACCAGGTGTATGGACACGCAAGCGGCAAGCGCACACTTCATGCAAGCACCAAGACCGAGACCGAGACCATCGCGAAAGCAAACAAAACAGCAAAACAGAACAAAAAAAGCTACTAGGAGCAAGGGCATCGCTACTAGGGGCTCCTGGCCTTACTGCTAGGAGCAAGGATGCTTTCTTCATCTTTCTAAAACAAAACAGCACAACCAGCACACCACCTACACATGACCGAGACACCACCCAGCGCCCAGCTGCCTAAAGAGTGTACAACCCCAAGCTATCGCAAAGGGCATCGCTACTAGGAGCAAGGACGCTACTAGGGGCTCCTGGCCGTACTACTAGTAACAAGAAGCTATTAGAAACAAGAATTCATTATATAGAATTAGAATTGAGGACCGATCTCCTTCCGCAAAAGGATGGTCCATCGTCCGAACATACCTCACACCGACGAAGCACGGCCGCCTGTCATCGTCCAGTTCAGCGCTGAGAGCAGGTTCCGGGCCCATGGCACACGGCCCGGCGTGATGTCTTGCTCGAAGGCGATCGACAAGCTTAGCTTCGCAGCCTCAGTGACACCCAGCAAGGACGCTACTAGGGGCTCCTGGCCTTACTACTAGGAACAAGAAGCTACTAGGGGCTCCTGGCATCGCTACTAGGAGCATTCTTGCTGCTAGAAGCCATTGGACACACCGAGTTGGGCGGCCCAGGAGTTGGCCGATCTGGAACGAAACCTTTCGACATGACCACCCAGCAGGTCTGTAACATGTGCACCTAGCAGTTAGGACCCGAAAGGGACGACGTGATTGTCCATAGGACGGAGGTTTCTTGTTGGGGATCACTCACTGGATCACTCATCACCCGAATTCGTCAATCCGAGCTGCGTGCCAAAGAAGTTGTACCAGCAAAGCCAAGCGTACGAAGCGCCATGAGAAACCTGAGGCCAAGTCCAAGGCAAGGAAAGGCCGAAGAATGTTCCTCCTACTTTCACACTCTTTTGGACCACCAGTTTTCCTTGGACCCACCCGCTCCCGGCACTTCCTCCGGCTTGACGAACCGTCTAACTTGTCCGCTTCAAGATCGATTCAAAACGTGAGAAAAATGTGCAAACAAAGATAATCTCTGCGCCGTGAACCCCAAGCACCGTCGGCCATCTTTGACTAAGCCACTTCCGAAGGCATTGATCTCTGGGTTTTCCACGTCCACTTCATAGGTCTTGGCCTTGGAAGCAGTTCGAAGTCCATCCGAGTCCAAAGAGCTGTTTTCTTGGGCACTGAACAGAATCAGGAACAGAACAAACGCTAGTCAGCGAACGTTGTCACCTTCAGATCCGCGGAAAGAATAGTCCTTTGCGCCGTGGAAGGTTGTGGACCTTTGTTGATCCGAGCTCAGTCAACGGCGCACGAGTCCGAACGCGGCCATCCATGTCCAGCGGCTGTGTGCTCATCCACGTCCAGCACAATCTCCCCGGACATCTCAACGAGGACGATGCCATCATCATCTGTAAGGGTCAAGTGGCGTAGTTTTCCATCGGTGCCGACGTTGAGGGTCAAGGACTGCAGGTTCTCGCCCAAGTCAACACCATCAGGACCTCGATGCGTCAGTCGTCTACTAACCAAAGGACTCAGAAACCCGAGTAGGGTCCTGATCAAGGCGTAAGCTGATATTATTTCATAGTTAATAGACGTGGGAGCATTCAACTTAGTCACCTCAACTTCTGAAAAGTAGTTCCTTTAAGAAGAAAGTCGATATTACCATATTGCATATCAATTCACTTGTTTTGCTTCGGAACGGCCTCCGAGATACAGACTTCTTTTCTTCTCCCTAGCATCTTCACTGCTTACCCCTAGAACATGAGGTCTGACACCATTGCTTGGCAAAGTCTTGCCTCATAAGCAAAACTGTGAGATCTTGAGTTTCTTTGAACCTGTGTTGTTGGAATATCACTTTGGACATGTTGCTTTTCATGATGTTTTATAGTTCGTGTTTGCAGTAGGGTGCTTCAACATGAGACACCAACTTTTCACCCATAGGTCTATCATGTCTGAAGATCATGTTTGCTAGGCCCGACACGGAAATACAGTAATAGTAATAATACTGGTTGTGCGACATCAAATGTGTGACTGTCAAAATCATTCAAAATCACCTTTTCTTCAGGAACAAACACAGAAACATCGATTCAGAGTGCGAGTTGAACAGTTCGATGTAAAGCTGCCCAGAACTGAATGGCGCACTGGACTTGAGTCTTCTATTTAGAATGTCCCAAGAGTGGTGGACAGTGCAAACACGTACCTCAAGGCACCGTTTCCCACACCCAGTACGCTTTGCTGAAAATGCCATGGGTGCAACTACATCGACTACTCGGAGAATATGAAAAGATGCTGAAATTTTTACAACTGCCCAACTGACCCAAAGACACAGCAACTCTGGTGATCGAAATGACGTTTACAGCAACCGGTTCTCACCACTTCGTGGAGACCACCGCTTCTCACCACGCGGCCGTTCTTCGTCCAGAAGGTCCGAGTCTTGCCCTGCAACTTTTGCGCAAACTTCGAAACACCCATCTTCGCGGAGGGCGGCTGCCAAGTAAAGAAGTCGAAGGTGCTGCCGTCCTGCCAAACACATCACAAACACAGAGATCAGCTCATTGGAAGCTGTGTTTCCTCCGTCCCATGCAAGTACGTTTCCAAGCTGTGGATCAAGCGCTAAATGGTTTGGCACCGACACCGTCCGACGTCTGGCGTCCTCCACGGCCTGCAGGACGACCCTGGGATCTTGTGACCCCTTGGTCTGAAAGTGTGCCAAACGGCCACCCGCTGCCAAACGCCTCGCTAGCAAGAAGCTAGGGGCTCCTGGCCTTACTACTAGGAACAAGAAGCTATTATATAGGTTGGAGGCCATCGGCTTAGGTTGGAGGTCATCGCTATTAGGTCCAAACATGTCCAAACGCCTCGTGACGTGGACAGAACGGGCCACGCACGCGGTGCATAATTACGAATTGGTCGACACAGACTTGATCTGAAGAAAATGCCGTACGAATCAGATGAAAAAATTGTGTTATATCGCATCAGCCAGGCCGTTAAAGACATCCTAAAACCGTCTAACATTGTCCGGGATGTATGCCACTGTTTGCCTTCCGCTTACGAAAAAATATGTACGTAAACAGCAATATTGTTGATGCATGGTTCAATGCTTTCTTCTTTTAATCCAGCTTCTACGACTTCGACGAATTAAGTTGGAGGCCATCGCTCCTAGGGTGGGATGTTGCTTCTACGAGTCTATGAATTTTCGTTCCGCCTCCTGGCCAAGATTTGATCGGCCCTTCCACCGTCGCCCACAATGATGAGGCAATGGTCCTGCAAGCGGGCAAAAAAATAAAAATAAAAGGTCCTTCCTCCTCCTCTCTTCTTTTATGATAGATCCATTCTTCTTTCTTTCCTTCTTTCCATGAGAACATGAGCCCCTCGAGTTCTAGCTGATGATACTGTCTGACGGCACAAGAAAAATGCCACAGAAAAAGGCAACCCATTAATTGCAGCATACCTTGCATCAAATATGATCCACTACATCGTTGTTCCCCCGCCCTGCCCCCACCCCGCCCAACCCCACACATGCAGTGATCTCAAGCAAACAACGCTAAGACGTACCTACGGTGTTAGATCCGGAGGCAGAACATGACAAGTATTGTTTGATATCGCGCTTTATCATGGATTTGCCGAGTAGGAAAAGGTTGTTCAACCAGCAAGTACGAATTTCCCGATCGTTAGAAATGCAGTGAAACATGACATAGTTAACATTGTACCATAGTGCAAACTACTTTGGCCGCCCCTAGCTTGGGGAACATAACCAAACCTGTTCACGACCTTCCCAAATGTCTATCCGTGCGCTGCTGTCCTTGAACCTCTGAGCATCCAAAGCCATGGTGCAACTTGTTGATGCTTTGAACGGGATTGTGCTTGAGTAGCAATAAACAAAACTCCCGGGATAAATCAACGTATGAATTGCAGGAAGGCTTCACACAAGTCCAACAAAAACATCCAAGAACCCTCTCAAGAGTGCAAATGGCCAAGTGCAAAGAGTATCATGCATTTGATCAAGTTGGAGTTGTAGTGAGCAGACTGCAAAGGATCCTCTGATTGCAACTGTTTGGGGTGCAGTGTCCTGCCTTGGGTGCCAAAGCAAGGGACAACAACAACAACAACATCTAAGAAAGTTGCAAGGCGAATCACTAAGGTAACTGAAACTTCTTCATGTGTTTGTTCTTTTTCACCATCATTCGCGTCCGTCACCGGATCAGGTTGGGCTTCGTTCGTTCACAAGTTCACTGGCTTAACGATCGAACACTCTGGTGGGAAGACCATTCTAAGGTCATATCTAGATTTTAGGAAGCCCCTACAGGTGGTCTTAAACTAGCAGTGGGGAAGTGATACGTCTATACTGTTGGTGGTTTGGTGTAGTTTTACAGGTTGCCTTGTTCTTCGGCAAGCTTCACTTGTGGTGTTCTCCGACGTTCTATTTTTAGCTCCACCGCGCCGCGTGTTGCTCGCCACTGTTCCTTTTCTCCTTCTCCTCCTCCTCCACCTCCTCCTTCTCCTTCTACAAACATGTCAATTCCACTCACTCACACAACAAACTCCCCCAACTCACCATTAACTTGACTGACTCCCCTCAATCAACACCTGCCTGCTTTACGGCTGCTGGGCAATGGGCGGGCGCTGCGTGGTACTGCGTGGGTTACGACCGGACGACGATTTTGATGATACGACCGGGGATACACGATGAGTGAAATATGATCGAGGATAGATTGCCGTGGATTTGATGCACATGTTATTTCCGCACTGGTTCTTTGGCAAACTTCTTGGGGTAGAGCCTTGAGTTCTTGGACCCTAGTTTCTCACCTCGAGTCGCAGTGCCTTGAGAAGAGCTGAGTCTGGATCCTTCATATAGTTGCTTAGGAATACAAAAATGCGATCGCTTCGCGCACGGGCGCTCGGAACCCTCATATCGTAACTTTGTATTGTACTGCTCTTTGCTAATATAGATCATCCAGTTGCTATTAGGTTGGAGGCCATCGCTATTAGGTCGGAGGCAATTGCTATTAGGTTGGAGGCAATTGCTATAGTGAAAAGAATCGTGTGGGAACTGCATCGAGTTCATTCCTCGCGGTCACCGCGTTGGCGCTTGGTCTGCTGGGTCCCCTGGGTGAGAGTCAGGAATGGTGACCTTCTTCAGCTATCAAAGGTCAATGGAGAGTTGTTACTCCACACCACATGCGTCAAACAAGAATCTGTCAATAAGAGTGTCAATCCAACCTGTCCTGTCGCTTTGACAACTTCAACCAAGGACTTCGAAGGCTTCAATTTTTTCAACTAACTGCCTGACCATGTTGTAAGCATTGAACCCCATCCACACGTGTAGTGTAGTGCGCGTAGATGTTCCTCGCTTTTATGGCAATGCAAACACTTAAGTGGTGGGACTAAGTGAGCCACATGGTGACGTCTTCTAGGCGGCAAGCAAACAGCAGACCGCAGAAGCAGGCATTTCTCTCGGAGGAGATCCGATGTGAAGAAGCGAAATACACGAGAAAAAGAAACCAAAAAGCTGTGCTTCGCGTCGGACATCATTTTCTGGTACTTCTTTGTACAACTCCAAAACGAAGGGCTGTTGACAGTTGGCATTTTCCCACCTCGGCTGCAATGTCTAAAGCACGCACCATTGGCTGTGAGACGCCACATACAAAGCTGTTGTTGGTAGTGGAACGCTTTGCAACTTCTGAGCATCTACGTCAAGTCCAAGGGATCCGTGAAAGTGTGAAGCTGCTCTAGACTCTAGCCTGTGCTATCCTGGAAGTGGTTTGAAGCTTAGTTGCTGGTGAGCTGCAGTTACGGTTCTTGAATAGAGTGATGAGGACTCGACACTCAAGTCAGGTCCCAAGGTATTTGACAGCCTTTTCTCGCGCATGGGAACTGGTCTACTACTGTACACTTTTGAGAACCTTCCAGCCACAACGCACCTAAGAACCCTGACTGCATCATGCATCTTCATTGCTTGTTGTTTTTCTCTTGGTCCTGTTCGATTATCCAACTAACATAATAGAACAAAAGTATCAACAAAAATTCAGGCACCACTAATTGTACGGCACAAACAAGAATAGATAACCACGCGAATCAATACAATAAATACAATAGTTGAAGAAAACCTATACATAGAATATCATAGAATATGTAATGCGTCTAATGAAATACCTTCTTCTTCTTCTGAGAAGATTAAATTGTAGGTGGGCAGATGAGATAAACTCAGATAAACCATGAAAGGTAAAAATAGTATTGAATAAACGTCGGTTCAAACTTGCCCACAATTGCAGGGACCAAAATGGTCTCTAATTATCGCTGACTCAGCGTTGGCCTGAGTTCCGATGCTCAGTTGTCAGATTCTGCAGGAGAATTCAATATTCGGAAAAAAGAAAGCGCGGCCTGGCCTAGGTGCTCCTGGAAGATGAAGTGAATGAGTTGTGCCTCATTCTGGTCCAAGCCTTCCACGAGGACTTCCTACGGATCATAAAGTCATAAGTCTGCAGAAAGAAATTGCCTTTAGCTCGAAACTTGAAACCGTCCTCATCCTTGCACCCCAAGCTGAGGAGCTCCAATGGTAGACGTATCTTCCACCCACAAGTCTCCAACAAAGCAAGCGGCTTTTCGAGCCAGCCTGCGATCACACGCAAGGGCACACGCACAAAGACTAAAGCGAGATTATGAAAGAAAGCTGAACATGCACGAAACACCAAAGCAAACAATCACAGTGAAAACGCCTCACAAAACTGCCGGTTCCAACCTTGCTGGTGGCCGTCATGTAAGCAAATGGCAACCATTGGCTGAATAACGTCTAGCATGTTCATGGCGCATTGCTGAGGAGGAATGCTTTCCAAGAGTTTGGACTTTGGGCAAGAGTGGAGTCGCAAGACTCGCTCCACCACCTCGGTCTCCTTCTTGCACAATTTCCAATCCCTCATCTGTGGAAAGGTCTGTGGATTGCGCAACAGCTCTGACATCACAGCTTTGAATCCATCGCCAAGGCCGAGCACTCTGTCGGTGAGAATCGCATTGACCTCCGCAGCCTGCGACTCTGCGTTCAGATGCCCTTCTTGCATAAGCTTCATGATGAAAGCCACTCTTGCACTAAATTCCTCATCAAACAAAGAGTCCAACAAGTCTTGACCGACCCAGGCTTGAGGCGCGCTGTGCAGCTCGAGTGGGTCAGCACGCACAACCTCGGCTTCCGGCTTGACAGCTTTAGACAAGGAGGCCAACGCCATCTTGATTGCACCTGCAAGTTTGGGGCTGACTCTCTGGATACAGCAAACCAGGGGCATGGTGGCCGACCAATCGGCATCTGCTGCCTTCATATCAGCCTGTATTGCACATTTCAGCTTGGACATCCATCCTACGCACGAACCTTGCGCTGACCGAGAGCCCCGAGATGTCTCGCTTTGCTCGCAGAGAACGCCCTCAAAAATAAGCTTGAAAGTCCGCACATCCTCCTCTGCAAGCTGTCCAGTGTAGTTATCTGCATCCAAAACTCCGCCCAAATTCTTCACATCCAAAAAACTCCATAGCAGCCTCTTCGACTGCCGCGTGCAAGTCTGGAGACAACACGCCTTTCGTCTCACAAAGGCTGTCAACTATAGCACCTGGCTCTCCTTGGCAAATCGAAGCTTTCAAGCGCTCCACTGCCTCCAAGTCTGAAGCTTGAGAAGTATTTGTGGAATCCGAGCGAAATGAATCTTGACATTGTTGACACCCGCCAGCCGCCGGGGTGTAGGTATTGTTTGCACTCGCCAAAACAATCTGTGAAGCTTCATGTCCTTCTTGCAAGATTGAAGGGCGCTGCCATGGACCGAGCTGTGCCGTGACTTTCTCAAAAAGTTCTTGAACACAATAATGTTGGTCCAGAAACTGCAGCAACAATGAAGTAAAGTCCCCATGATTGGACTCGGAAGCAACCCGAAACTTTTGACAAGAGTGTACCCAGTAGTACTGATTCGCGGCAAGCTGAGCATGTGAGGGTGTTGTCACTGCTGAGATTCTTGTCTGCGAGGCAGAACTTTCTTCAGGTTTCAGCCTGCAGCAGTCTAGCACGAAGCAAACAAACAAGTCCCTGACAGGCCAGTGAGCAATGGTGTGGAAAATATCATCAACGTCGACCTTGGTACTGTCATCCTTGTACTTAGAATCTCTCATTGGAAGGAGGGTCCTATGATCCTGCTCGCCATGGCCGGCAAAGTAAAAGACAACTATGCTTCCATGGCTGACATGATTCTGCACTTGGCACAAATAGGTGTGGATGTCTTTGTGCAAAATGTCCTGCACAAGCAAAACAAAGTCAAATCCCATCGCACGAAGTTTGTCGTGCATCTTTTGCGAGTCATTGGTGGCACCCTTGAGTTCAGGATAGATTGGATCGTCATGTCGCCTGTTGCCAACCACAATGGCAATTCGCTTTCGAAGCAATGGTGCAGCTGCGCCTTCCACAATTTCAAGTTCAGAGAGCAGACCGTGCCATAAGCAACCATCAAAGTCCACTGAGACCACACCATCGTGAGATATAAATTGGACAAGTCCAGAAGAACTGTGTTGCGCCGTGCCCCATTCAAGTTTGGGGTGGGTCACGCGGGGATGCACCCGAACAAGTTCTCCCGGCCGAATCATATTTGCGGCAGCATTGACATGAATCTCATCACTCCTGCACCTTAGTTCAAGTCAATGTTGGAGCCTTCAGGTTGGGTTGGGAGCCCCACACACACTCAAGATATGAAAGCCCTAAAGCATGCGTTATGCGTTATGGAAGCTTGCGGGCGCCAGTTCCGATGAACCTATATATCTGAAGACTCACGCGCTCAAGCACCATAGGTTAAACGTGTATGCACAGTGAGTGCTGTAGGTTGCCCCTCAAAGAGGCCTGGGGAGGTTCACAAAGGTGTGAGAATGCATGCGGCGCATAGCCCATGAAGTGCTGAGATCAAAAGCTGAAGACCGATGGAATGTGAAAGGGAAGTCTCCAACTCTCAAGCAACAAAGGCAAATGTGTGACTGCCAATCTTGGAAACCTAAACAGCCTGGAACCTCTGCGATCCAACACAAGATAGAGCAGGTACGTCACTTTTGTCAGCCATGATATTAGCATTGCTGTGGCTGCGTCGTTGGACTGTTGTACACAATTCATGGATATGCAGGGCTGCTACTTCAGATACAGTTTACAAATTTCAGAAACAAAGCAATCGACAATCAGTCAGTCAGTGCGAAAGCACACCTGTGAACCCGAGGATTCCAAAAAGAGAGAGACACACACACACACATATCATAAGGCTTGCATAAGGTCCCGACCTCCAGTCATCAGCTTCAGGGAAATTCACAAAGACGTCATCACCATCGATGCGCGAAACGACGCCGATGGCACTTGAAGTTTTGAGCTGGCCCCAACCATATCGCGGCTTGATGTCTGGCTTTTCAAGTTGAACATGAGACCCGACTTGTAGGCAATCAAATGGTTTCCGCATGTCAAACTCATCAAGGGCGCCGTGCCACCGCTGCCTGTGCCCAAAGTTTACATACACCACTCCTTCTTTCACATCCACGACGATTCCAATCTCAGACCTGCTCAAAAAGCCCAAACCAAAGCGAGGAGTTGCCACATCCTCACGAAGTTGAACAAGTGCGCCAGGCCTGACTGAGTCTGCCCTCTCATCTCGTTCTATCTCCCTGCGTGCAGCATGCCATGTATCGATACCTTGTCCTGTCTCCTTGAGGGAGTCAATGCGAAAAGTGCCATCTCTGTCGATGTTGGTGACCACTCCAACGCTGCCTGACACCGACCGCACCCGCATTCCTTCTTTAATGCCCTCATGCTCCCTGACACGCTTCAAGCTTCGCTCTTGGTTCAATGTGTTGGTGAGCAGGAGTTTTTGAAGTTGGGGACCCTTCTCCTGGCGCGCATGACGTTCTCCAGCATCTATGAGGCGTTTGATCAACTCAGACTTGCTGGTGTCTCTGCGCAGTAGCTTTCTCAACTCGTCCACTGACTCCTCATCGTCGCTTGGCGCCTCATCCCAATCCAAAGTTTTGGTCTCGGGCATGACGGCACATTCCCCCAAGTCTCCCCTGCCTGATGCTAGAGGACTTCGAGGGGACACATCCAAGATCCTCACATGGGACTCTCCATACTTTGCGAAGAGCGTAGCACCTTCCTTCCCTTCTCTTTCAAACCAAAGTCGCGGACACCCGTGATGGTACCTTGCGCCGATGAGAGTGAAGCGTCTTCCAAGAGGGTCTTCAACTTGTGTTCCATGCTGAAGCCCTGCACACCGTGACATGCCAGCGAGCCGGCAACAAATGTCACTTCGCACGTCAAATTCAGCTGCAAGCTTTTTGGTGCGAGAGCGCAATGGATACTGTACACAAAATTGCAATGCAAAGCTCCCAGAGGACCATACTCTTTGGGCTGCTGCGAGTTGCTCGACACCAAGGTAAGATGGCCATTGACCTGGAGCCTCTCTGCTCCATCCCGGCCCTCACGCAAGGCCCACAAGCAGCGGTTTGCTTTGGACCGCTTGTGGGGCCTGGGCGGGCCCACACCAATAACCGTGTACTCCGCCCCTTCCTTGTCTTGCACTACATCACCAAAGCCAAACCCGAAGGCTTGGCAGGCAGTGATGGAATTATCAAACAAGCGAACGACTGGATGTTTGCAACCAGCCATGAAGGGGAAGGTGAAATTGGAAACATTGGGCGGATCTGCCCCCAAGCGTGAACGAACTTCATTTGGATGTAGTTTCTCGAGCACTCTCATGTCACCAGGCAACGGGTCTAAAATGCCAGCACCGGCATCCCCCTCCCGCCACAGTAGGAGGGCGGGTTCCCCATCATTGGCCCACACTCCAACAACAGTGAGCCACATGGCGTCATTGCCGTGATCATACAAGACCCTATCGCCATGGAAGTATCCAAATTGACCGCACACTTGCGGCCTGATGTCGCACACAACCACCTCAGCTGAAAAGCAAAGGCCAAACTTGTTTTTTGCCTGGAAACTGCGTGCGAATTGTGGTTGCAATTCGACAGATTGTGAATTGTATTGAATTGTGGGGTTTTGTCATTTTGGGGCACAGCTCTTGTCTGTGGCACTGGCTATGGGTGTTTGTTGCATGAAACGAAAGGCAAGTACCCTAGCGAAAACACCACAACTACACGACAGTGTGGCCCGAAACAAATAATACACTACATATGATGAACACTGATGTCACGATGCGATGTGTGATGGCGTGACCTTGCTGTCATGAAGTCGGGAAACAGGAATGACGATGAAGTGTCCCTCAAGAGTGCCCTACAAGAGTATCCTACAGGAATGTCTGCTGCGTTTGGACTTATTTCTCTCCAGCCATATTATACTCGTCGAACGTGTGTGCATTCGGGTTCGTGGCTTCTATCAGCACCGCAAGGGTCCGCAAGGGTGCGCATCACAAAATCAAAGGGAACCATCCACTTAGCGTGGATATCCAATCCGTTGCGTTCCCCCGCATTTCTTTGCATAAGGCTGCTCTATGGAGTTTCCAGGTTCTACATCTCGCAGATTACCGGCAGTTGTTACATTTGATTTTTGGCAGCGAGCGCGTCTGCGCATTCTTAGGCATAATGAATCATAATTAATGATGCAATTGTTGCAAACTCACTTTCCGTTTCATGTGTTGCCACGTGTGAGAGGTCACGTTCAATGTTTGTTCCTGTTTGTGCGCTTGGGAGCCCCGAGAATCCCAACTGCCCAGCTTTGTTGGCCCTTTGCAAGCCATGAGCTCCTACTCAGAAAGGTTCTTCAGAACATTGATCAAGTGTCTTTCGCCCTGAGCCAACTGAGCCCCCAACTCGACGGCTCGTTCGAAGCTTCACCGAGAATTCTGGCTTCAAGTCAAATTGTTGTAGTTGTGGGACTTTGGTGCTGAAATCGTCTCTTGGTGCCAAGCCCTTCACAAGCTCATGTAGTCGCTTTCTATGCTTGTGTCTTAATCCCCCAGCCTTCACATCCCTCAGCAATCTCAGGAGGGTCTTGTCTGAGGAGTCAAACTGAGGTGACGCAGATGACTTTGGCTCAGCGCGGGTGACAGTGAGGCTGCCAACTGTTTCAAATATGGAAAAATCACCATCATGGAATCCAGCTCCTGCATCGTCATCAGCTTGGGTGTAGACTTTTGGTTTGCCCTCCTCATTCAACTTCACACCAATGACTGTGAAAAAGCGGCCATCATGGCGCTTTAAGCGGTCTCCATGGTGGAACCTCACATGCTGTTCGAGGGCAGCATCTCGAATATCAAACAAAGCAACTTCACTCCGTTTGATCCCATGGTAGTAGGGGAAGTCAAAGCAGTAGGCGAAGCTCTTGCACTTCGTCTCACCCTGCTCTTGACATGTTGCCCAAGCTGTTTCTTCAGTATCTGGAGCCAATGTGTCTCCTCGATCGTTCCTTAGGTTAAGAAAACAAACACCAATACTAACTCGCAAAGAATGCATGTGTTGAGGTACGGTGGTGAAAGCCTTGGGTTGTCAAATGATGACTGTAACTTTTCAGAGCAAGATTCTGATCATGCCGCTCATCATCCGACGACCAATCATCTGGTCCCTCTGTTGCATTGTTCAAAGGGTACCGAGGAAACTCCTGGCTAAGCTCGGATGCGGAGTCGCTGTGATGCGACCCCTCCTGCTCTTCATCACTCTGTTCCTCCACTATTGTAGGCATCTCATCTTCAAATGTCTCGCTTTCCCGGACTTCTTCAACCCGCGGAGCTGCTGGGACTAGAGAAGCAGGGATGGTCCTTCTTCCTGGAAAATGCCGGGGAAAAAGGAAGGCCTGGGGTCGCGGGGCATGAGAACAAGGTCGAAAAGCAGGGTGAATCTTCACAGCTTGCAAGCTATTTTCGGCCACCCATACAATTCGATGGCCGCACCGCACTAGCCACCTGCCTGACCCAGGGTGGTGCTGCTGCAAGGATACGAGGCAACCATGTCCAGGATGACGGCACTCAGTGATGACTGCGAAGCCCCCAAGTTGCAACTGAGCTCTGGTAGGTCTCTGTGCTGCGGAGTGGGCCGGCTGGAGAGTGGCTGACGCAGACTGCTGGTCGTCTTCCAAGCGCTGTTCTGGGGCAGGGCTCTCCGTCCTGCACTGTGCCAATGGTGGAGCAGCAGGGGCATATTCTCGGTTGTCGACTATTGACTGCAAGCAAACCAGCACTTCTGCTGCAGAAGGTCTGCAGGTAGAAGAAGTCGCACAGCAGTCGGTGACTGTTTGCTGCAGCATCTTGAAATCCTCTGGCCAACCAGTGAGCTCTACTTGCATGGTTCCTTTCCTCAACAGCCTCAGGAGCTCACGCCCGCCCATCTGCTCGACCAAGTCGGAATAGCGCTGCAACGTCAGCAATTCAAACAGGCATAGGCCTAAAGAGTAGATGTCCGAAGCAAAACTGGCGGACTTCCCCTGCATTACCTCTGGGGAGGAATAGAGGGTTGTGCCTCCTCTCGCATAGAATGTATCTTTGCCTTCAGGGATGCGCTTGGACAAGTTGAAATCTGCTATTTTGCACTTGTAGTCTTCTGTGACAAGAATGTTGGCAACCTTCAAATCACTGTGAAATACTCGAGATTCATGCAGAAAAGAGAGTCCCAGTGCAATGTCCATGGCCATGCTGTGTCTTCTTGACACTGTCAACATTGCCTGCTCACCTTGAATGATGTTCTCCAAGCATCCTTTGGCACATATCTCGAGCACTCCGAGCAGTTTGCCATCTTTGCGACATGCACCATGCAGCTTGACAATGTTGTCGTGGCTAAGGCGGGAGAGGATGCTCAATTCTCTCTTGATTTCTTTCTCATCCTTGGAAGCTATCTTGAGGGCCACCATCTTCCCCTTGTACTGTCCAGCATACACCTTCGTCCAGTTGCCTTCCCCTAGTTTCTTGGAATAGTCCAAGAAAACCTGGCTCGCATCTATCTGTAGTTCTTGCAATACCTTCATCGCATCTTTGTCCTCCTCTCACAAGTTCACATTCACATGGGACAACTAGTTAAAGTCCGCCCTCAAGAAACCTATCGGCAGCGTGCCACATTGACAAATCTTGTCGAAAACTGAAAGGTGAATGTGTAGCTGCGCGTGTCACCTTGCACTTTGCGGTTTGCAAAGTATGCGCAAATGGAATGTCGACCCCCACGAGAAAAAATACCTACAGAAATACTTTGCTGCATCTTACGCGCGCGTGTGTGTGTGTGTGTGTTTGTGTCAACACCTGTCTTTCAATGTTACCTTTCTTTCTTTCGTACAACATTCAGCAGGGGGATGCCGGGGATTTCCATGGTCGGCATCCAACGAAGACACCATGGATTTCCTGTGATATGAATCAGGGACGCCTGACTCACGTACCTGCAATGCATGTTGAAACTTTTGAACAAGCTGTCCACTGCGGTGTCTTGCAGTAACAGACTAATGAGCTGGGCGAAAACTTGTCAAAACACCTTCAAATAAGCGGACTTCATCGCCTTGCAGTTCCGCATCTTTCCGTTCTACCAAGTCAAGTGGAACTTCACTGCCGATTGAGCTCTTGCGAGCAACTCTCTAAGTGTGTGTCGCCACAGAGTCCCACTGAGGGCTGTGGTGTGATCCCCACTGAGGGGCGCAGCATGTGCATAGACCCAGATCCTGGGGGATCCCCACTGACTCCTCCTGTCCTTCTTGTGAACTTCCCACCGATTCTGACTGATTTTCCGTTATGCATGAGACAGCCGACTAAATGCCGCAGGGCTCACTGAGATCAACTCCAGCTTGGAATCTCACGCGTGTACATATCACATTCATTCAGCTAGGTAATCAAGGCCGGGCGTATAGGTCGAAGTCACCGCACGATCCATCAAGCAACTACAACAGTTTTTGTGCGAAGATGTTGTCCTTCGTCACGCAGACCATGAACTCCAGCATCTCCGCATCTTCTGCTCCAGAATCTACTTCTGCGGATGATTGGCCACATGGCAACCACCTGAACTCTTTCGGCCACTACCAGACCACACCAATGATAGCATCCGAGCATTATTCAACAGACATTCCCACCTCATTTCTGGCAGAAATACAAATGGGGATTCCGTGCCAAATTCACTATGCCCTACGGCGTAGTGCACTTGAAAGCCAAGAAACAATGGACTATAGGCCGGACGATCATCTCTTACTTTCAATACCACTACGGCGCACTGCTCGGAGCAACCTCCACTGTTCTCAACTCCATGATCTATCGCCTCCTCCCCCAAGCACCTGGCCAACTGTCCGTTCCCCAACTATGGCGCCACTTCCACGACTACCTTCGACACCCCAGACCATATCGGACTACATGCCGTCAATGATGACCTGGCAGGCTTTTTCAATTCCTTTCCCCAAGACAGTACAGCGCCTTGACACCAAGTGGCAACTCACCTTTGACACTCCCACCATCACCATTGACCTCCACGCCACTGGGGGTCCCCTCCAGCTCTCCCACATTGGCCAGCATCACCGACGCCACCCCACCCAACGCACCATTGATACCAACGACATCACTACTATTGTAGCACTGGCACTTGACACTTGTATCTTCCAAGCGTGTACTACCTACTTTCAACAGTACAAGGGGCGGCGATTGGATCCCAACTCTCTCCTGCGCTTTGCAATGTCGCCATCACTCTCATTGAGGGCTCTTGGCATCAACTACATCACTCCCTCACGGACCACACCCAGATCTACTTCACCTACTACAGGTACGTGGACAACCGCTTCATCACCTTCAACCACGACTTTCTTACTCACATTGCCCTCCAAACTTTGATCCACCCAGACTTCTTCGGCAACCCTGCGGAGCTGGAACCTGTGGATGACATGCGCCTCTTAGGCTTTGATGTCGACCTCACCCAGCGCACCATCACTTACATCCCGCCCAACGCGTCTTGGAAAATACGGGATTGTGCTTCTGCAGGCTCCCAACGACTACAACACTACAACTCTCAGGACTTCAATCACGCGCCCACTTGGTCCGCAACTACACCTACCCGACCTCGGCAATTGAGCGAGCGCTTGCTCAACTAGCTGACCTGTATGTCCAAAAAGGACATGACCTTCACCTATGTCGTCGCACGATTCGAGGAAAACAGCTGCCGGACCACAACTCCACCCCCTCGTCTCTTCTTTTCCTCCGTCCCCTCACCTCTCTCCCTCCGGACTCTCCTCTCTCACACACCCATGTGTGTCCATACCTGTTTGGGGCTTGCATAGACTAATTCACCTAAGATGATTTCATGAAGTTTGCAGGGGGGCAAGTCCTCCAGCGATGAACCTCGTCCAACGAAGCTAAATCGCTGGAGGGGAAGCGGATGGAGACGTCCATTCGTGTACCTGCTTGGAGACCGGTGATGCAAAACAGTGTACACCTGTTGTTCTCGGCCCTTTATCAGGTCTGTTTCCAGGTCTCAGGTCGTTTCTGCAGTAAAGTGCTAATGCATCCGTGATCCGGCAACTGATTTAGCTCTTGCGAGCATCAATCTAAGTGTGAACAGCTTTAGATTCTGTGGCAATGCTTCTTTCCAACCAACCCTTGACAGTGTCTCCTCTTCCTCTAATTGAAAAGCGCTGCCAGCTCCCAGAGCTGCCAAAAACTCCAAAATCTCCTTCCGAAGGTCAATAGAAGAAAGGATGGCACAAATTGTTTTCCAGCACGCTGTCAGAGTTCAAAAAAATCAGCGAACCAAGCTTGCGATTGGGCTCAGTGAATATGAACAGATTGGAGAGCGTTGTTGCTTTGGCCCTTAAAAGTGAAAACAGGAAGAGAATGCTCAACTAACCCCACCCAAGTCCTTGAAGGGCCCACTCTCTGCTTTCCCATGGTTGCTGCGAGCCTCCTCAAGGCACCAGTTCTAGGATTTCACTTTATCATAAAGGTGAACATGCTGACCAACTCTCCAACCATGGTTGTGTTTTCTTTGTTGACAAGGACAACGGACAACGGGCTGAAGCATCATTATAGAATGCATTGATCACGTTGTTCATCAGTCATGAGCAGCTGACTTGTGACGTTTGCAAATCACTCGAAATGCAAACAGAGCCTTGCGGTGGGCTCGCAAATTCATCAGCCTCTCAATGACCAGGGCATGTTTGCCGCTCAGACCAGCACGCAGAACTGTAGCTCTTGTGTCTGGCTCAACAGCAAAGCGCACAAGGGCAGCTTGCAAACGTTCACCTGCACAGCTCTAAGAGAAAGGTTGCGCAGTGTTAAACTCGGCTTTCACTGAAATCCTGTCAACAACTGAGAATGTGACCCAATATATCTTTCATTTTGCCTTCTCTTCCTTCGATTATTTCGTGCAGCAATCTGTGCACTGACTTGGGATCCTCCACCGCGCCCACGACTCTGCGGCATGTTTTCAAGCTGAATAGAAAAAGCAAATGTGCATCAAGATCAAGTCCCGCATGTAGGCAGCCGTGACAAAGATCAAAGTTGCAAATAGCACAACCATAGCCGACCCTGATGCTGTGAAAGCATCCGTCGCATAATCCACCCCGAGAGTGTAAGGCCCGTTCTTGCAACTGGTGTTTCTTTGGGCATGTTCTGCGCAAGCCTTCTGTTGGGCGTTTGGATGCCTGGCAAAGCAAAACAGAAAAAGACATCACAGCGTCCCAGCTAAATACAGCTAGCATGATGTAGCTGCAAGTCTAGCTTTGACATCTGCTGGACAAGTGCCTATTGTCATCTTTATTGTCATATGCACACTTGGATATGGCTCAAACAATCCATATTTGCACACATGCAGAAATATACATATATACATACCCATTAAAAAAATAACAAAGGTTGATTTGTTCCTATTGGGTCTGGTGGGAACCGGATGTTGGAGCCGTAGCCGTAGCCATTGCTGTGTTTTTGTGCTTGTGTTTGTTTGTTGCTAGCAAACAAGAGCTTCAACCGACAACAGAGTTGTTGCATAATCCAGCGCGCTGTTCTTGAATTTGGAATGCATGTTCTTCTCGTCCTCTCCCAGCTTAGTTGTTGATGTTCTCCAGTTTTGCGCCATATGCATCCCTTTTGCACGATGCACGCATTGACAGATCGGGAGATTTGAAGAGCAATGCGGGAACAGCACCGAACATGTACTGTACTGTAGTTGTTTTGGACTCCTTGCGTTTCTTGGTGATATGGGGCGACATCACTGACCTCACCACACGCACGCTCAAGATAGAAACAAGAACGAACGACGGCCTGCGAACGCCCAAGTAACCAAGCGGCCTAGATGGACAGGTACAAACTCCAGCGGCGTCCAACTGAGGAGTTTCAAAACTGGTTGAAGAGGCTCCAAAAGGTCCAAAGTGTCATCATCAAGATCAACAGCGTGAACGATCGAGGAGCGCATGTATGCAGAAGTGAAGAACCGAAGAAGGGCCAAAGACCTTGTGGTGTCGGTAAAATAGCAACCAAGTGGGAACTGAAAATCAAAACGCAGGCGCACGACTAGGCGCTTCATGGAGTTACCACAGTTCTCATCGTTGGCAGCAGAACTGTGGACTCCCTGCTGCGAACCCGAAGAAATGCATGAATCCAGGGTGTACACACATACACTAACCAATGCCTTGCGGCACAAAGCTAAACTTGCAGATCCTATTCTATGTCTTCCCATGGTCTGCCATAGAAATCACAAGAACAGCCAGTGGTTGAACAGGCGGCCTGTTCGCGACGCAACTTGTCATCTGTATGTGGGACGCCCCTGTTGGGCAGAACCTCCCCATCTTTTGCAGGCCTGGCGCAAGATGGGTGAAGAAACTGACACCGCAATCGCTTAGCATGCCCTGATCACCAACCATCACGTGCACTGAGACACCAACACCAACAATAAACCCCAGCGACCCCATCAAAACAAAATTGTGTCACCGTCAAAACCCTAACATGAATTCGGTAGCTCTAATTGAATGTCTTCTCCTGTTTGTAGTTCTGCGCCTTGCAGTCGATGGCATCACTTCATTTCTCACCAATGTGCCACTACAAATTAGGAACTCGGCACCATCTGGCCAAATACTGGATAAGACCATGCAGGCGCCAGCTCTATCCTTGAAGCGCAAGGATGCTGCTGCTTGTAGGCGGAATTCCGTTCGGACTGCATACAAAATATCCTCCAACGGAGTACCATGGCAGACTTTCAGCGCCTTGTGCTCCTCACCATTTGTGAAATGAAATGTCTTTGAAGCCATGAGCGCTCAACGCATTGACGCCCACTAGCTGCACCAACCGGCTCTGGCACCATTCAAGCCAAACAAAGATGATGGCTCTTCTGCTGCAAGTGACATGTGCAAGGCTGCAGAACAAACCGAACAAACCAAACACTTGTGGAGAAGAGAGCTTCCGCCCATTGTTATGCTGCCTCTGGCAAGCTTCAGTTCCCACCGAGAACTGTCTCTCAAGACTCAAAACATGGCTGGGCTTGATTGTATTCCTGTACACTGTACATGGATCCTATGAGGATAACATGCTGCAGCATGTGCACCGCAAAGTCCATTGACGTTGTTTGTTTGAAGCATGCATCCCTTTCTGTTGCTCTGCGTTGCGCCTGTTTGTTCATGTGTTCCTGTACATACAGAAGGTCTCACTTAGCCCTTCAGGTTGCAGATGCTGGAGCCCAACGCGAGCCCACACCTCCTGGACAAACCGGGATGCCAAAGGCAACTTATATACATGATACAAATGGATGCAAATAGATGCAAATAGGAGCAAGGACGCTACTAGGGGCTCCTGGCCTTACTACTAGGAACAAGAAGCTGCTAGGGGCTCCATAAAGAAAAGCTTGACAGACCAAGGCCGAAGAACTCCAGACTTTGACTCCTTGAGGCTTTGGTGCAGGTGTTGCAGCACTGGAAGCATCAGCACCTCCCAAACTGCTCTTGGAAATATGTGCAGCCTCACACATGCTGTGAACCTTCCTTGATGAAAGGCCAAGCACATGCTCAAGCTTGCGCCTGCGGCACCCTTGTTTTTCCAGCGGCGAGTTTTCGCTGGTGCCTGTGGTGCCTCTGGTGCCTGCAAGCTCAAAAGAGTGGCAGTAGCTTTCTGGAAGTTGTCAGATGTGCAGCTCAAACAATGACCTGGAGAGTAGGTTGAATGCCATCTGCGGCAGGCTGCCTGAAACGCACACACCAGCTGCGGCCCTGAAACAGTGTTTCAACACTTTCTATTTTAGGCATCAACTCTTGCTCCAGCTTGTTTTTGGCTACTGTGGCCCACAGGAGTGGATTTTTGAGCCCTCTGCGCCAACAAGTCTTCTCCAGCTGGTTGTAGACCATCCCCTGCCGAATGGCGACTGAGCGCCTTCTAAAGGAAATCACAGCTTCAAAGAAGTGCAAGCAAGACCTGCACGCGCTGTGAACATGTCAACTTCAGCACCAACCTGGCAAACCTATTTACCCCATTGACCCCGGCTGCTGAGCTGCAAACAGCACATTTGTTGAACTCCTGCGTCTCCCAACTCCCTCTTCCCCTTCCCTTCTCGACTCTGGCACCTCCATAGCCCTGCATTGGTGCGTGCGGTGCCTGCGGCGGTGCCTGCGATGTTGGCTCAAAAAAAAGCACAGACACTGCGTGCGTTCCTGTGGTCGTGGCCGTACACTCGAAAAGGTGTCTGCCTTTGGGACTGCGAAGTAGGACGGTAAAACCTCGAATCGAAACGCATGCCTCACATAGTTCAACTCCCTTTCATCCCAACGGTTGGCAGAATCGTCAAGCTTTGGCCACTGGTTGTCTTGCTTGTTTTGGCAGTTTGTTCATAGCAGGTAAATATAATATTGTTGGTTGGTGCACCTAGTAGCGTTCTTGTTACTAATAGCAAGGCCAGGAGCCCCTAGTAGCGTTCTTGTTACTAGTAGTAAGGCCAGGAGCCCCTAGTAGCATCCTTGCTCCTAGTAGCGATGCCAGGAGCCCCTAGTAGCGTTCTTGTGACTAGTAGCGATGCAGTTCTAAACTCCAAACTCCAAGTAGCATGGTCCTCGGGGTGCAGTTCTAAAGTTCCGTCCCGCTTGATGTGCCGGACGGTGACACCTTGCCAGCAAGCGCGAGCCAAGATGGTAAAGCAGCGAGCTAGCGTACACAACGGTCTTAATGGCTAAGAATACAGGTCAAGGCCAAGGAAGAAAGCTTCAGACTTGACGTTACAAATCCAAAATGCATGTGCAGTCTATGTAATACGGTACGATCCAATAAAGATATGCAAAAAGCACCGAAAACCGCCATGTCAATGTCTCGTCGGTCTGGGCATCCGAGCCAAAGTCCTGCAGGAGCCTCTGAGCCACAACCTGACGATGGCACTCCCGCCAGTCTGCCTGCGTTGCGCCGCGCCCGCGGCGCCCAGGCGCGGAACTCCATCCGGTTGACACGTCTGTCAAACGGGCCCTGAGACGTCATGAGACGTTCGTGATGCACCTTTGTGGCCTTCGCTTGGATTGCAAACATCGCAAAAGGTCCAACACATCGCAGATCTTCACCACCTCCCAAAACGATTCAATGCCTCCGCACACATGAAGGCTGACTTGGGTCCAGCTAGTGTGGCCTCACCAAGAGCATCACAAAAAAGAACTCTGAGCAAAAATACGGTGTTCATTCATGCCCATTCAAATTGGACATAATGGCATTGGACCAATTCCAGTTGGACATAATGTTTGTGGATTCATGCTGATTCGGAATCGTTGTCTTGTGCTTTCAGCAACAATTCTGCGGCCTGGCTGGCGCTCTCGGCAAGTCTGGCGACCGCCGCTCGGCCTTCAGGCAGTTCCAGAAGCGCCAGGATGCCTCCTTCCACCTCGGAGCGCAGCTGGATTCCGACGGAAGCTCAACGTGGCGACGAGCTACGCCGCAAGCGGGGCACTCTGTGAGGGGCGAACGGTGTCCCTTTGTGTCCCTTATTTTTCCTCTCCTTTCAAGTCACAAGAACTGTTGTTTGATTTAGCACCAAAGCTGAGGTAGCGCGCTCCTTTGTTTCCCAGCTCCGGACAATGTCCTCACAATGCACCACCAAGAGCTGCAATAAAACCAAGAAGTGCTTGTCAAGCGAACTCGAAGGCTGCCAAGTGTCTATAACTGATCCCCTGGCTTTCAAGAAGCTTTTGCAACGCGTGCTTCCTTGGAACACAATCAAACCGACTTGGAGGTGGAAGACACAGTTTGAAAAAGCCAACTCCACTTATGAAGACACCTTCTCCGAAGACACAGTCTCCAAATCTCAATGAAGGCTCTTGAAGTGAGGGAACTTGCCGCTGGACGGGATACTCCGGACGTCCACGAGCTCCTTTTGACAGCGCTCATGAAGTTGAAAGCGCTCAAATGTCATGGTCCCGCTGTCTTGTTAGTTATGTCACATATGTCGGTTTGATCTTGGTGTCACACCGCCGTGAGTGTCTGTTAAGACCTTCATGCTTCACCTCACTTCTTCCTCTCCTTGATGTTCCATCTGCCTAGCAACTTCAGGAAGACCTCTGGAGGGTGGTTCGAGTGGCCCACGGTGAGAAGCCGCGCGAAGTCCCTCAGCACTGGGGCACGATAGTGGTAGTTCAGCCCGTATGGCGAGCAAAAGTAGCGTGAAGTTCAGAGTGCATTCATGCAAGCACAGCCAAAAAACTGGTCCAAAACGCGTTCATGAATCCGCCGTGGAATGAAGAAAATGCCAGGCACAGCGGCCTATCTATCTGATTCCAACGGCGAAACACAGCTGCTTTCATTGCCTAGCGTCTGGTCTTTCGGCTTGGAGGGCGCGTCCATGACGCTCTTTCGACTCAGCGTCGTGTCAGCTGTCTTTTCCTCGTCGTCAATCAATCCTATAGTGCTCCTAGTTCTTGTACACGCAAAAATTTCTTGAAGCATTGCGATCAATTGGGACTGTGAGTTGGATGGCCTTATCACATCTTGGTAGATTTAATAAAGCAGGCTGCGGACCAAATTGTGAACGCATGTGCAGTGACAAATGGTGACCGCGTGTCGCTATTCGCTTCAAGTCACATTTGCTGTTTAACTTTGAGCATAACTCCTTTTCCTCACTGGAACTTCAGCTTCTGTTGTAGGTCAGACAGCTCTTGACTCTCCTGGCAACTCTCACAAGTCTTTTGAGTTGACAAATGAGAAGGAAAAAGAAAAGAAAGGCACAGAACAATAATTGCAAATTCCTCAATATTGTAAATATTGCCTTTTCAGCAACGTTTAGGTGTAGGTCTTCCAACACTTGGCCTCATTGCTGAAGCGGAGCCGATCCGCAAGCTTGGAGAAGCTCTTGAGGCGCTGCTGATCGCGGCTGTAACCCTCGTCCTTTTCATAGGCCTAGAAAATGACAGAGTGGAAGCTCTAAACTCTAAACTCTAAACCATGGAAGTTCCAATCCATATGAATGACTTTGAATTCCTGTTCGTGACCAGCATGTGTCAGCAATGGTTGGTCCGTTGGCACACTTGGTAGGAATTACTCCTGATTTCTCACAATATGTGTGTGATCTTTTCGAAGGGAGCTCGTTGAGTGTCAAGTGGAAAACGTTTCTTTTCATCCAGGTTCTTGCAAGCAACAACAAAATGTGAAGAGTGCCCCGTGGTGCGGAATGAAATCGTCGTGGAGCATTGGTGGGTCTCACTCCGCACGAGAAGAAGAAAAGAAAACATCTTCTGCTCTGGCAGGGATGTGTCGGTCCATGTTCAGATATGTGAAGATTCCGTCTTACACATACATGTCTTTTGCTGAAGAAGAAACACACAAAAGACACGACATGGCTCACACCTTCCCTCGACTGGCACTTCGTTCCACATCCTGGAACTGCTAAATAACTTCAAAAGGACGCAATCAGAGGTGAGAATCCCGAAATTCCAGGAATCGAAATGCAACACCTTCTCCAGGACAGCAGAAAGCTCTGAGTTCAATGTCCAAAAACAAAAACCGCGACAACTCGGTCCTTCTCTTCATCCTTGACAGTATCCTCTTCTGCCTTTAGCACAGCCTGTCTCAGAAGGGAAGCACTTGAATGATGCAGCAAGAGTGAGGATCTGAGCCCAACGAAACAAAGGTCAAATCAACTGTTGTTCCCTCGGCAAATCACGATCTGGGCCTCAAGATTCATGAGCCGCGCTCGGTCCAAGAAGTTGGTGAAAGGCTGCTTCTTTAAGTCCTCATTTGACCCTGAAACTTGACCTCTCAAAACTGCTGCTTCCAAAAAGGAACGGTCCGACAGCGTCCTCTTCCACCTCTTGTTCCTGCCCTTCAATGACTTGTTCATCTGTCTTAAGGCCCCAAATGACATCAAACCTCGCAATGCAGTGGCGGCGACCACCAGCTCTCCAAGTTGTCCATCCTTTATGGTGTGTTCTTTACAGAGAAAATGAGAGAAAATGAGTTTTACATCTGTGTTTTCCGCCCGTCTCACCTACCTGAGCTGCCCAGCCAGTTCTCCGCATGTGCCGGCGCACTGATCAGCACGGGCAGCGGTCCTCGAAGGCCATGAGACGAACGCACGGTCCCGTGTGGTGACACACACGCCTGCAAGGAGACTCCGTCGTGGCACTGCGAAAACTGCACCAAACGGGTGCCTGTTGGAGGCTATCCAACAATGCTGCAGACTTGAATGTCCAAATTGGACAAGTTTTCAAATGCTGTTGCTGTCTTAAATTTCCCTGGAATCGCAGGAAGCAGATGTCGAGGCCGTTTTGGGAATCCGGGCAACCAATACCAGCAGCATCCGGCAATGGCGGTGCCAAAGAGTCGTTTGTGGCGCCCGAGCATGGGGCCGCTGCGAGGCTGGAAGTCTTCGTAAGCTCGTAGCATTCTTGCTACTAGTAAGAAGGACGCTATTAGGGGCTCCTGGCCTTACTACTAGGAACAAGAAGCCACAAGTAACAAGGACGCTATTGGGTTGGAGGCCATCGCTATTAGAAACAAGAAGCTACTAGATGCTACTATATAGGTGGAGGCCATCGCAACTAGTAACTAGTAGCATTCTTGGTATCGTAAGCAAGTTTCGTAGGCATGGTTTCTCGTCTTCGCAAGCCAGATCTCGGGGCTGAAAACAGATCTCTTTGTTGAAAGTCACTGTAGAGAGGGTTGTGATGTGATTTGTTGCATGTGTGTTAACAGCTGCCGGACCATCCAAAACCCCGGAAGTTGAAACAAGTCACAGGTAGTTAGCATTCACACATCATCACACAACCCCTTTGCGCAGCCAGAACAAATCGATGAACTCAGGAAGCACTTTTGTCAGAGGAAAGCTCGTCCTTGCCTTGGCATATCTGAGAATTTGTGCACTGAACTCTTTGGGTTGCCAAAACATTGATATTGAAAACAATCCACTTATTGTCCGGACGTGTCTGGCTTCCGGACATGACATGGACATGAGGTGCGGACCACGCAGGAGATGACGCCACCTGACACTTCGGTCGGAAAAGGAATAGAATTCTTGAATCAGTTGCTGTGGAGTCCCCTCCTGAGTCGTGCCAGTCCAATCATGAAACCGGTTCCTCCAAGTCCGGCTGGCCTCCAGGAAGGCACCAGCATTTGGGCCGCCATCCAAGGTCGAAGCAGCTTCTTGAAGTTTTCCCACGACCGTGTTCAGTCGGTCCATCCTGAGTTTCAACTCAGAGTAACAAGAGGATCTAACTGTCTAAACTTGAGCAGGTGGGGTTGATCTGGCTGGAACGTGGACTTATAGGGGGGCTCCACCACCAAACAAACAACCCTGCATTCCACTTTATTATCTTTCTTCAATGTAGATCACATGCTTGGTCTTCTCTTCTTTTGCTGCCCAGTGGCACTTGTGCCTCGCGCTCAGGAGGAGCAGGGATGCCTGCAAGGGAAGAAAGTCGCATTGCATGTGATGGCACTACAAGAGCTTTGTTTGGCTTGGCAATGCCTGTTTTATTGGTTCCAACACTTGTTGCACATCAGAGTCTGCACACAACCTCCGAGATCAACCCCAAGGGCCTGAGCCTGAAGGCAAAGAGATCACCAGGCCCGCTTTGGGTGCCTTGAAAGAATACGTCTCACGACACATGAGGCACACAAGCACAAAATATGTCTTAACATGGCAGTGGGTCAAAAAAGAATTGTGTTTTCTTAGTGAAGACTCCAAAAAGGCAACCAATGAAAGTTTGGCTCTGGCATGCTCACCTTTCCCCACGATTTTCAAGGTGTTTGTTTCATTGTTTAATCAAAGACCGGTGTTTGTATGTTCCCAGTCTCCTGAGTCATGGAGTCCGCCAGTTCGTCGAAAGGCTCCGAGGTATCCTCACCAGGTTCGTCACTCACTGGGACATCGACACGGCGTTGCTAGGGTTGTCATGGGCCTCTTCTGGCATTGGTTCTGGTGGTGGAGGCAAAGGCTCCTGACAAAATGAAAAGGGATTAATAAAAGTCTACAAAGAAGACACAACATGACACAACCACTTAAGCTGTCCAATGACAAAACCTGAGAGAAGTGGCATTATTGTGGGTTGATTCCTTTTCTGAACTCTTAGCGGGGGTTGATGGGCAAGAACGGCAGGAGCCCTCCGTGAGTCCTCCGGCTCCGCATCTTCCTTGGCCGCCTCCTCGATGTCTTCCATGATCTCCTTTTCCGGATCTAGATACAACAATGCAAAGTCTGCCCGCGCCGAAGGTGCTGAGGCGTTGTCTCAGTTCGCGTAAGCCGCTATGATTGCTAGACTGCATAGCTTAAGCTTTAGATTGGGGGAGCGCTATTTTTGCTCTATATAGGTGCTTTTGAGGCCTTTAAAAACCGACGAAAGATGAGCGAGTCATTGGCGATGTCGGTTGTGCCGCCCGAGTAAGGATGCATATTGACATTGTGTGTGCTTGTCCCTGTGGCCTTCTCCAAAGAGAAACGATAAAGCTATATATAGTATTTATAATGTGAATTATGATGCCGCGAATGCAATTGCATCATTGAAAGCGTGTGCGTGTTTGTACGTGCTGATTGTAGTCGAGATCTAAGACGCAACGTCGGGTAATACGGGGATGCATCAATCACCAAGTTGCTTGTCGTGGGCTGTATTATTGGTGTTTAAAACAACAATAACCCACAAGTGCTTTCCGTGCGGGCGGCTTCGCCGCGAAGTGGTGTGAATACACCAAATGATTGTATTCTCATGATTGTGCAGGATACAAAAGCAGCATTAGCCAATACCCGGCAAAGATACGAAATGAAGATTTTGCCACCACAATCTTGACTTCACATCATCAAATCTTTACTTCACATCAGTGTCTTAAAGGTTGTTCGTCACTGGTTCTGTCAACCGTGGCTCCTCGTCGTTTTCACGGGACAGAAAGTCTTGCTGCTTTGCCTCATCCGATTCATCCGCCAAAAAAGGTACAGCCACTTCGATCCGCTTCGTGTCAGGAATGTTGGTACATGTTGATACTATCCTTCCGACTGAAGAAAAGGGAATGAACTCTGGTTGTGTCGATGATGACTTCCTACCGCATCCAGCCCAAAGTTGGGCCCTGAAGACCAGAGATGGTAAGCTATGCCGCTACTTAGGAAGAAACAAAAATCCAGCAGCGCATCCAAATGTTGTCCGCTGAGTGATTGCAAAGGTGCTAAAGCATCAAAGTCTGCAGCATCTTTCGGGTTCACCGCTGCACCTGAAGCATCTGAAATGACACGAAGGACATCGAAGAGGACAAATTCAACAACAATTCCCACCTTTGTGCTCTTCAAAGCAGACCTGTGGGGACCACTGCTTTCAATGCATATAGCTCCTACCCTGTATCCAAGATCTGTGATCCACAAAATCGCATCAAAATGCTTGCAGAAAGTGGTCAAAAAGCTTCTTTGCGTAACTTGTTCCTCACGAAAATCGCACTCCAAAGGTTGGGACTAAGGGAGCCACATGGTGAAGTCTTCTAGGCGGCACCCAGCAGAAGCCCTGGGCGTTTCTGAGATCCGATGTGAAGAAGCGAAATACACCAGAAAAAGAAACCAAAAAGCTGTGCTTCGCGTCGGACATCATTTTCTGGTACTTCTTTAGTACAACTCCAAAATGAAGGGCTGTTGACAGTTGGCATTTTCCCACCTCGGCTGCAATGTCTAAAGCACGCACCATTGGCTGCGAGATGCCACATACAAAGCTGTTGCTGGTAGTGGAACAGTTTGCAACTTATGAGTATCTACGTCAAGTCCAAGGGATCTGTGAAAGTGTGAAGCTGCTCTAGACTAGCCTGTGCTATCCTGGAAGTGGTTTGAAGCTAAGTTGCTGGTGAGCTGCGGTTACTGTTCTTGAATAGAGTGATGAGGACTCGACACTCAAATCAGGTCCCAAGGTATTTGACAGCCTTTTCTCGCGCATGGGAACTGGTCTGCTACACTTTTGAGAACCTTCCAGCCACAACGCACCTGAGAACCCTCACTTCATCATTCAATGGCAATAGTGGCAATAGCTATCACTGAATTGAAAGGTACTCCAAGAGTAGCCTCGACGCCTGAAGTGAAAGAGGTGAAAAGCTGCATCTTTGATGTCCACAGAAGTTTTAGAAGTCAGAAACGGGCCCACGCCCCAAAGCCTTAGCCTTATAATTAAGAAACGCAGAACTCTGTGGGCATCTGCCTGCATTCACCGTGCTAAGTGTTAAGAAAATACCCTTCACCCAAGCGACAAGAGCGAAAATTGAAGCAGTGCTACTTCTATGCATCCTTTGGAAGCATAGCTTTATACTGATTCACTGGAAGCTCCACCGGCACCGGCGCTGGGTTTCCTTGGAGAATAGTAAGCGGCTATGCGGCTACAGCGTCTCAGCATATCAGCCAAAGCAGGTATCAACCACATATCGCCTGGTTTAACTGAGGTACTACGGGTGAAGCAATAATTGATCACCTCCAGAACGATTGCAACCAGCAGCATGGCCTCGTGTCTTCAGAAAGCTAAAGCGGAGCAATCATTCCATGTAGAGCTCTTTCGCTTGATTCTAATGCTCCTCAAACTACACGGGAAAACCATGCCGAAAGACTTCGGCTCGAGCGTGTTCAACTCAGATCCCTCAGATCCGTCCGATCCGTCCGGATCGAGCCGAGCGGATCGAGCCTTCAGGATGGAAAAATCCGTCTCTCGAGCTGCGACGGTAAACATGTAGGTCACCACCTTGGATCGGAGTGTCAGAAGCACACGGAGTCTTTGAACAAGAGACAAACAGCGAGGTTTACATAGGAAAAATTTGAGAATCGAACTTCGAACTGAAACTACAACTCTGCAGGCAGTCCAACAGTCCAATCGTCATGTTTAAAAATCCTGTTGTGCTTCATGATTCTATGACTTGGTTCCTCCCAACCAAACATCCTGCACCTCATTAGCCTAGCAGCTAAAGAGACAGCGTTGCAGATATTCTTCACCAAGGAGTCAAAGTGCTTTACACAAAGGCTGCAAATCCTCACTGCAAAACGTGCACGACCATCAATAGGTCCAAGGCATCAACTTCAGCTTTAGGTCCAGAAATCCCGACAGGAGGAAATATATTGTGAAAAAAGATCTAATTATATGTAAAAAAACAAATAAAGCTTCTTAGACCACTTTGGAAACTTGAGGATTCTTGAAGCACAACCGGACCATGACTCTTTTGATCCAAAAGGTTCACCAAGCTTCCACTCTCTCCAACAGTACATTGCGGCAACAATCAACGTTCGCTGCGTCCAGGATCCATCTTGTCCACCTTGGCAAAACGCCAAGCCGCGGAGATGTGACGACGGTGTGACGACCATCTCATTGAAAAAGCAGGTCTTGTGACGACGACGTCAATCTGAGAGACCCATAGAGACTCCATTCTGCGAACCAAAGAACATGCAGAAAAGCACGGAAAGGGTCGAGTCCAAGGCACTAAAAAATTGTGATGGATCCTCATGATGCAAGATACAAATCAATAAGTATCCCGTGGTGGCCGCAATAATGCTGCTGAAGGACACCTGCGGGTACCAACATGTGCCAACATGTGCCAACCTTACCATCCTGGCCCTGAAGTTGTGAAAAAGAAGTTATTTGTGTTGACAGCTGCTTTGTTGCACCCAAGTGTCCTTGAGCCTTTACCGATTCTCCAACGACCGGTAACTGGATAAATTGTCAGAAACTGTTATACTTGACACCCATGATGCTCTTGATTCAGCGACCCAACTTTAGCTTTGCTCACACTTCCAGCCTGCGTCATTTGCACGTGCAATCTCATGGGGTGGGCTCGACTCGACTTGAAACAAGTCTCCACATAGACCTGGAGCTGTCATTTCTCGGAAAACTCTTTGCAGGACCCAAATATTTGGCATAGAAACCAGATGCCATCCTGCTGTACAAGATATCACAAAAGCATGCAAGCAACATGATTCTTCAAAGGAAGGGGGGAACAGCGGGAAGTAACAAAGAAGGAACGCAATTCATCACAATCCAAGTTGCGCTGCACAGGACCGACAGGGTGACCTGGACACGGTGCTGAGAGGAGGTCGCACAAAAAAAAGAGAGGCAGATCCTGAGGCTGTCGTCAAGCTACTAGCGATGGCCTCCATGTTCTTAGAGCAAACAACCCAAATGTGTCAAACACATCCAAAACATCAAATCTCTTCTCCTGTGACAGATCGTGCCGGCGTCTTTGCATCTTCGTCCTGCCTTCGCCAAAGCAAAAGCTCCACCCAAGAGATGATCCTGGAGATCGGTGACGTTTACACGCCCAAAGGCTCTCCATGTCAAGTGCAAAACCCGACAGCTTCGGAAACGTCTGAAGTTACTTATCAAAAAGTGAATTCGAAAGGCGCTCCTCAGTGTCTGGAGTATGGAAGCGATCCACTGTCAACCATGTATCCTGTCAACTATCAGCCAAAATTATGCCACAAGCAAGTCATACGGTTCCATCAAGCTCTGACGCGGAACGCGACGCAAATGACAGCCAATCGCATCCCCCTCCTGCCGCAAGCGCCACTCAAACAGGCGCTCTGCGTTCGGCCGCGACTCATCTGGAACGAGGCCTCAGAAAAGCGTCCAGCGTCAAGCAATGTTCCTACACGTGGGACGTCGTGAGTCTCACCCACATCCAGCTCCAATGGATCGAAAACAAGACAAAACCGTGTGATGTTTCAAGCAATAATGTCAAGCTACTAGGAGCAAGAACGCTACTAGGAGCAAGCAACAGTCCCACCTTTCAGCTGGCTTCTCACAACCAAGAGGCAATATGCCATGCATATCAGCGACAAACATGCCAAAATGCCTCAGCTTGTCATGAACTCTACAAAATCTCAAGAAAACCAGGTTGTGAAAAAAGAGACCACTGAACTGAAACCGTTAGTTTGGGCGAGTGTCCCCACTGAAGGCCAGTCTGCCAGGCACCACAAATAATCCAGCCCGCCGCAGCACTCGACAACAGGCGCCCCTGGATGGGAGCATGTTGCACATCGCGACTGTGACATGGGCAATAACATCAAACCAATGGTGTTAGGATGCCATGATCTTTGGGGGCAAATGATGACAAATGTCTTTCCCCCTTTCCCGAACAGCTCACGAAACATGAAGATATCCGAACAACTCCTACCATGGGACCCTCTGTCGCAAACGGGCCCGCCTGCGACAGCACGCCGTAGGTGGCCGGATCGATGCGGGCCACGGCCAAGACTTCACAAACGTCGGCCATGGCCCAACCGATGCCCGCAGGAGCGAAGATGATGATGTGTTGGAGATCAAAGCAATGCCTGGCAGCGTTGGTTTCTTCGAATAAAAAATGCCAAGAGCTGTTCCCTGTCGAAAAGGCTAAATGACATTATGACTTCCAGCGATGGTTCGGACGGAAGGTTTGGTCGCGTGCATGTCGTGTCATCGCCAGCACGTCAGGCCTTACTTGCTTCCACCCTCCACTGACGAAGGACAAAGAGAGGCCGACGAAGCAAATTAGAAGCCACGAAACCTGAGAAGCGGCGCATTCCGGCTGTCCGGAGCTGTGGAAATCAAAGCCATGAGGGGAGCCATCAAGAGCCATCCTGAACCATCTCCCATCTTGAGCTTTCAAACGGTCTGTCCAACGGTTTCGCGATTGCCAACGGGGTTTCAACACCGAGATACAACGATGACAGAGCCTTCCTTGAAGGGGCGGCCCTTGATCGGCAAACCGTCCTGTTTTCAGGCAGCCGATAAAAAGTGAGTGGGCAAATGACCTAACCAAGGTAACTATTCTGATCGCTTCCTTCTAATGGATGTATAGTATAATGTATAGTCACCTCATATTACCAATGCAAGCCTAGCGGTGGGAAATATATCTTTGTTTGGCAGAAGCAAAGTAGGTGTTCATGGGTCCTCTCCAAAGCCCACAATCTTTGCCCACGAGACTGTCAAAGGACAAGCTGCATAGGTACCAACCTTGCTGGTTTCTTTGAGTTTCATCTTCAAGTTACAAGTGTTGGATCTCCTTTCGTTGCCTGACACTAATGTTTCGGAATGCCCAACATTCTCATAGTCTCAACCAGACCACAATTACAAAGTGAACACAACATGCGAATGCCGAATGTAGAATGCCGTGCAAATAACATTCTGTAGACACTTGTTTGAGATCAAATAATGCCAAAATATGCCAAATGTAGGTCAAGGCACCACAAGCATAAGCACCAAGTACTGGATGGCTTGGCCCAGATGTGTTTGCAAACGCTTCCAAAGTCGAGGCGCATTCGCCTGCAACAGCCCAGCAGTTGGGCGCCGGCTCAGAATAGATTCAGACCGTGCAGACAGTGTCGCCCTAACACCAAGATGTGTAGGTTCTACAGAAGGACACTTGCTTCCATGATTGGTGGCTAATCTGCCAGCGTCCAGCTCTGCTAGCCTATAGCTCTTATCCATCTTCCCTTCTCGTCTTCGGCCTTTAAATTGGACTCTACCTCTGCGCTAAGCATCCATATTCTCCTTGCACACATGTGCATGTCGTGCACCAGGCACTTGGATCCCTGTTCTTTGCAGCAAATTGTTACTAGTAACAAGAATAACAAGAAGCTACTAGGAGCAAAGGGCATCGCTACTAGGAGCAAGGACGCTACTAGTAGATCCTGGCATTACTACTAGTAACAAGAAGCTATGTTGTTTGTGTTGACAAATTTTGTTTGCTTCTCACACTAGCAAGCCCATCCTATCTGGCTCGTCACCAAAGCTTGGCCATGAGCGGCATCGAACAAAGCCCTTGGCCGGCTGATCTGCAGTGGTCACCTGGGCAGTTGGCCAGATCTTGGAGGTTCAAGACCAGCAGCCTTGTTACGTTCGTAGCTTCTTGTTACTAGTAGCGATGGCCTCCAACTTATTTGCGATGGCCTCCACCTAATAGCGTCCTTGCTACTAGCTAAAGAGCACTTTTAGGAGAACGTGCATGACATGCATGATCTTGAGCTCCGTATGGCCAACTTCACCCAGTCCAACCCAGGAATAGGAGGGCGGTACAAGTTAGACCACATGTACCAGACTTTCAAGACTTTCTGCGCTGCCTCCCCTTGGGCTCCGCTGGCCAGGCCAGTCCGCCATTGGAGGTTCCTGCCACGAAGCATCCGAACGTCCCTGTCGTTCTGAACGAAAGCCCCTGCCTGTGGCGATACTCCATGAGCCGCCCTGCATCGTCCACCCCCTCCAAGATCAAGGCTGACTTCGTAAGCAAGTCCCACAGCGCAGCGTTGTCCTGAACAACACCGGTCGTTGGCAGGGCCGGCTGAACAGAATACTTGAGCGTCTTCTTGATTCCTTCAAATTCTGCACGTGCTCTTCGGCACTTCTTGCAAACTAGCTGCATTTTGTGCAGAGGCATTGCTTCCTGCATTGCTTCCTTTTCGTGACACCTGGCAACCCCCCCAACGCAGAATGCTAGTTGAGCCAGTTGAGCTGTTTCTTTACAGTTCATCAAATGCAAAAGGCCAGAGAAAGGTCCAAATTGAAAGCTCAAGCGGTTCACATATTTGACAAATGTGTCGGGAAAAAGAAAATACATGAAGACTTCGCGGAGTCCCCATGTCTTTTCGTGCCTGTTCTGACATTTGTCTCGTGCGCCCGTTGCGAAAGCCTCCGTGGCCGGCTCCGTGGCCGGTGTTAGATGCATTTCTGTCAAGCAAATCACAAAAAAGAAGCTCAAACAGTCTTTGCACCAACATCACAAGTTCAGAATATTCCATGTATATACAAAATCTAACAACTGTTTTTGCCATGTTCACTTTGAGTGAAGACCCTAGACCCTCCGTTCGACCTGGGAGGTCCTCTGAAGTGGCCATGGCTTCAAATTTGCGACATGGACATCGTGAAAAGTCACATGTCAATCTCCATCTTCACAGAAGCTTTGTAACTTGCCAACTTCCCCATCTTCGTGGCAATTGATCTATTCAGTACAATTATCTCTTGCACTGGAATTGGGCAAGCACGTCTGGGACCCAAACAGCTTCAGATATGCTGGGGTCGGCGACATTCTTCCTTTTGCGTAGTGGCTTGCTTTCAGACTTCGGGTTGTGACGGGCCTTTTTTGTCCAACGAATCTACTCCACAACCGCTCTCCATCAAGCTGGGCGGCGGCTTCAGTTTCTCAGTTGCGATCCCGTGTGGGGGGGCCTTGATCGGAGTGAGTCTTGCCCCTAGTAGCGTTCTCGCTCCTAGTAGTATGGCCAGAAGCCCCTAGTGGAAGTTTGAGAGCTGAGATCTTCACAACAGCAAGATGGAGGCAGTGAGGCCTTGCAAGAACCTGCAAGGTCTAGACAACACTGCACATCTGCTTCATCTGCACTCTGAGCTCTCAGGAGAATCGATTGTTACATGATGTTTTCCCTAGCACTTAAAGCCTAGAGTGGTGCAAGAGATTGCAGCCTGGCATAGATGTAGGCCAGCAGCCGCAGGAAGAAAATGGGCAGATTGAACTTGTCCGCGTAGGCAAGAAGAACAAGACCCACCACCTCAGCCCAGCCGGAGCGTCAAAGCGTCGAAGGATCGTTCCCAAAAACAGTCGCTGAGCCCTCGTGCTCCGCAAAGGCATGTCTTGGCGAACATCTGAAAGTGCTTGGGCCTTGCGTCTACTCGTGTCAAGTTGCTCGGTTGCTCTTGCTAGATTCTTCAGCCAATCCTCACACTTGAGAACCAATCGTTGCAATTGGGCGGATCCAAACACTCTGGCGGCGATTCTCTTGGCCGACCTCTTGGTGCAAATGGCCAGCGTAGCCATGGTGTAGTAGACCATTCCGAAGACGATCTGCGCGGTTCCAAACCATCTGCGACTTGGGCCTACAAAACCTGACCACGGAAAATACTATTCTATACAGTCCTACTGATGCCAATAGGATCAAATAGGCGGAGCAACTGACAAAACATCTCAAGCAAACATATCAACCACTCAATCGTTCACATGGCATGAGCACGAAGGGCCCTCACTCATGTTAGCTATTAGAGAGGACTTCATCCTTTTCAGATGCTTTGCTGGAGGAAAAATGCATTCAGATCGAAAAAAGCAAAAGACTGGGCTGTTGGATTTGGCTCCACATCTCGCCTGAATGAGAAGCGTGGTCCAAAGGATCACCTGGCCCAAGCGTGACAAGCGAAAACGAGAGCTTTTCATAAGTGGAATCCGATGGAAGACAAACACGGCGAAAGAAACGGATGTCTTTCGCAAAATACTGATGTTTTCATACCCCGAAGTTCCCACATCAACAAACTGCTTGATGGGTGCCATGGACAATGTTTTTTTGGAGGAAACCTGAAAGACCCCCGTCCTCGGCACTTTTGGAGGAGATCTCCCAGTTGTACATGGCTTCTAACTCAAACATGGACCTCAGAAAGCCATTTATGGCGCCATTTGTGGCGCATCAGCATGCACGGCCAAAGTGTTCCAAAGGCACGTCTTTTTGACTTTTGACACCTACTAATTGATTGCTACTGTGATGTCATCATATTCATTCTGTGCTCCCCATGAGATTCATATTTCCTTTCGCAAGAACTTGCTCAGGTTCCGTCGGTCGCATGCGGACGATGAAGACGGCAATGTAAAGGGACTGGGCGGGTTGTGACCCCAAATCAGCTGGTTGTGACGAGATCAGTAGGTAGGTTGGAGGCCATCTGTAGTAGAAACAATGGAAAAAGAAAAGGAAGAAAGGTCGAATATAGTTTGCCTAGCAGCAAGGACGCTACTAGTCCTGGCCTTACTACTAGGAGCAAGGACGCTAAGAAAAGGAAGAAAGGTCTAATACAGTTTGCTAGTAGGTTGGTCAAAGCTTCTCAACCTCCTTCGACCTACTGCTCAACCTACATGTTAATTCCCAGAGTCAGATATTCTGCTTAGAGCTCAATCGACGCCTCGAGGAGGAATTGTATGAAGAGAAGTAGCATGAAGACTCGCTCATGACGTGAGTAGAGGAATTCCACCTGTCTCAAATCTGCCAATCACTTCACTCAATCGGCTGCGACGAGTCAAAGCTGCTCGCGCCTCCTGTGTCATGCTGATGCCTCCATTGGAGCCTGTGCCACTGCTGTCGCTATCTGCATCGCCATTCCTCAGGCACATCTGACTCTCAGGGCTCAACACTGGCACTGCCCTTGCGACTGCACATCCTATCCCAGCCGTAAGGCTTCCCGGCTCTCGTCGGGAACGGTCCGATTTCGGCCTGAGCAGTCCATCAGGAGCTCCAGCAAGCGAGCACAGGAACAGCCGAGTGCCGAACCGGGATTGCTTGGCATCCGATGGCACAGCCTGCGAGCAAGCGAGCATTTCTCCGCTGTCAGCTGCCAAGACAAAGGAAGTGCATGTAGTTTAAAAGAGGAACCAAATCATTAGTGCGAGCCCTTCTTCAAGGAAGCCCCGCCCTCAGGCGAGGGAGCTTCCTTGAAGAAGGGTGAGCTATCCTGCGTCCAGACACTAGAAGCTTGCTCCCTTGCTTCATTAAGCAGGCACCTACTTAATTAGGTAGGAACGGGCTCGAAAAAAGAAGACAGAGGAAGTGCATGTGGAAGTGCCGTCCGCAGCTGCGTCTCAAAAGCCGTGCGATTTCCAGGACCAATCGCCTCCGTGATGGAGCCGTCAGGGTTCTCCACGAAAATGGGTCCATGCACCATCCTTACCGTAGCATCGAGTGGTCAAACTACTCCATGAATTCATGAAAGCTTCAAAATGTGTACGAAATCGTGACTCAATCTCTTGACAGGGCTTCTCTTTCTTTGACATGCTCTAAGTTTGGATGTGCTCCGAATGCCCTCTCAAAGCTCCGTGACGGACCAGTTTCATCTGAGGGGGCGGCAATTTAGCCTGACATGCAGGTACCTGGTCCTGTTTGACTTTCGGCTGGTGGTTTCAATAACGCTTATATAACTTTTGAGAGAGAACGATTTGCGAACCGTGTCTCTCCCCCTTGTCTAAGCTCAAAGGTTCAAAAGTCACAGCTTCTTGAAAACCTTAAAAACTGCTGCCGTAGCTCACGGCTCGTCGCTCTTTGCGTTTGTACATCAAAGTCTAAAGTCTAAAACTGTCATGGCCTTCATGATGGAAAATCGTGTGTCCTTTGCTTTGCTTTTGCAGGTGCCATAGGAAGTGCTTTCACTCATAGCCTCACAAAATAGATTCGACAGCAAGATGTTCCGTTTTGCTGGAAAACAAGTGGCAAAGCAAGAGCAAAGGCCGCCAAAGGATTGGTTCAAGCCCACCTTGTCAGAGCAAGGTCGTGATTTCCTGAGCCAAGCAAGTTCCGGTGGAGCTCCCTCAACTGGTTGACATGAGTCTCTCATGCAATAGGCTCACAGTTCCAGGCCGGAAACAAGCTTTTAGTAGGCAAAAGCAAGGAACAACACCAACACCATTACTGTATATGAACATATAAAGCACTGTCTGTCTAAAACATCTTTAAAGATTTACGCCTTGTAACCTCTTTTGCTCGGCTCAAATTCGTCCCAAGCGTCTTGCGCCGTTCAGCGCGCTCGCAGGAGTGGGGTGCGCTCCATGGCGGCAGCGCGCTCGAGCCAAGGTCGACAACTCTTGGCACGTCCTTTGCTACTAAGTAGCAAAGAAGCTACTAGGAGCAAAGGGCATCGCTACTAGGAGCAAAGGGCCTTACTACTAGGAACTAGAAGCTAGTAGAAACAATAAATAGAATTTAATTAGAATCAAGTAGCGTTCTTGATCCTAGTAGCGATGCCAGGAGCTACTAGTAGCGTCCTTTCTCCTAGTAGCGATGCCCTTTGCTCCTAGTAGCGTTCTTGCTTGTTACCTTCTGTTTCCTTCTTTTCCTTCTTCCCTTGTTAGTTACTACCATAGATATATTGATTTGCAAGAATAAACTTTCTTCGGCAACTGGTCAAAGCAACAACTGACGTGGCTCACACGCATTTTTTCTTGTCGCTTGGTAGAACTCATCTCCTTAGATCGGTTGAAATTCATCCAAAAAGATCTGCATCTTCTTGGTGCCCGAAGTAAGCTTCTATTAGGGTTAATCTGCGTAAGATGTAGAATATTAACAACCTGGAAAGAAGATTCTAAGCTAATCTGCGCACATTGATGTGCAAGTGTTTTGAGTATCGTTGCTCCAAAAAGGCCCTGGCTCTGAACTTCTCGTAGTTCTGGCCTTAAGTGCGCCAAAAGGTTCCAAACCGGACATGGCTCACAAGACGCCGTCGTATAGAAAGCAATCACAAAACGGGAACAGTGCCTTCGAATCAAACAAAGCAATCCAGTTCATCCAGGTCATTGTCTGCATATCTGCATGTAAGCACAACTGCAAACAAAGAATCGTCGCCAGAAACACACCTTCAAGTCTTCAAGAGCTGTTGAATGTTGCATTCTCATTCCCAATTCCGCCTCATTCTCCTCCCTCTTGGCATCCCTGCGTGCTCCCTGGCTGTTCTGGTGGTCAACCCCCAAGGTCTCTTCTAGACCAAGCACTGCGAGCTCATAGAGAGGAGCCGCCTGCCGCAGCTCTTTCTAAAGAAAGCTTCTTGCCATCAAATCCAAGGTATCGATATCATTTCTACTCGTTGCTAGGTGCCATGACAATACCATCAATTGTCAATCACCATGTCAGAATGCTGCCAAAACCTGCAACAGCCCGTCTTAATTGCCGAGTTAGACCCACAAGAGCCTCGTCCAACCGACCCAGATCTTGCAATACAGACCTTGGCTGGGGCCAAGGTCTGTAGTCAAAAATATGAAGTTTCAAAGAATTTCAAAGAAAAACTGCGAAACAGATCTGAACAGTGAATAAGTGAACAAGAATCAACTGCCTTTGACACGATCATACACGATCCATCTAAAAAAGAAATCAAAGGCTGGGGGTGCTGCGCTAGGTTGCTTGCAGCAGCAAACATGTTGGGGTTGCGATTGCCTTCAGCATCCAGGATTCCACCAAGCTGTAGTTGCACGTCTTTCGCATCTTGTGTTGAAGCAATTTCTTCTAATGCTCACAGGTCAGTAAAAGCCCCACTTGAGCCTTCAGGAGGTGATTGGAAAGTCCTTGGCAGTGACAAATGGTAGAGAAAGGCTACATGTGAAAAATGTTGCTTGAAGCGGGCTGGTACCTTACACAGTGTAAAAGAGTATGCTCAATCTGCTTGTCAGGTGTCACTTTCAGCCAACTGTTTTTAGACCTCTTGACTCTTCCAATTCCAAGGTTCTCGTAGGCCACACGGAAATGCTCCAACGCTTCAGAGACCTCCCAACAAGGGGGCCAAGGCCAAAAGTTCCAAGCTTCTGAGTCTGTTAAGCAGCGTTCCAAGCAAAAGACATCAGTTCGAGAAACAGGCAATCACGGCCAATCCCCCTATCGTCGGTACTACAAACAATTCACCAGTCATCACATTCTGTGCCTTTCCCTGTAGCCGTAGCGCTTGGCCCAAGGTGCTGTGCGCCTTTGTTCGTAAAACTGAATGCCACCAAAACACACTCAAATGGATCGCACACGGATCTTGAGCAACTTATGGACACGGATCTGCCTGTGCCAAGACCTCTGGACTTGCTCCAGTAGGCAAGGCCTGTCGCTGCACCTGCCAGATCCGATGTCTGAGATCGCCAGCGCAGCACGCGCTTCGTGGAATGTCAGTGCAGCAGTGGCCTCGCCTGCTCTGCTTCGCGTGGACGTCCCGAGGCCAACAGAGATGCAGCCAAGAAGCCCTGCAACTCGGTGAACGAAATATTGCGCGTTGCAAATGAAATATGCGAAGTGAGCATCCTATGCTCAGTCCAACCAAACTATTATTGATCCATCCTGATCCATTGAGCCTTCTTTTTGCACGCATCGAACGAGTCAAAACCGAAGCATCGAAAGCGCCTGAACTTCGAGGGTCTCTGGATGAGTTGCACCCAGCGAGGCGTTGCGGGTAGACCAGGCGCTGCGATAGAAAGGCTCTGCCTTTCCCGTAGCGAAAACAAAAGGAAAGGTCCAAAGAAAGGAAATCAATTGAAATCACAAACGGATATCTGCTTCCTTTTCTTTTTCTTAGCAAATGTTGGCAAGGTGCCTTCTTTTGCATCTCAGGCTATCGATACATCTTTTGGCGCTTCCCTATGCGACTCATCCGCGCCTCCCTATGCGCCTGGCGTTGCGCCATGCTGCTGGCCAAGTTCACGGCCACGTTCGCTGCAGCCAAGCTATCGTGACCCAAGACCTCATTGGTCCGAGCTGCCAAAACAAATGTAGTCCTTTTTGAATATTGGTGTTCTTAAAAAAGAAGACTTTGCAACAATTGCAGTGATCAAGGACACCAGCATGGGCTTTGTTCACGCAGTTTCAAGGAAAATAAATGGCACGGCGAACTCATTGCCATCTCAAGATCTCAGTCCTCTGTGGCATCCTGGCCTTGACGATCCCACGATGCGCCTTGTGGAAGTGCACCTCAGGTGCACAAACACCCGAGCGGCATCAAAGACGGTGGTACGCGTGATGGGTTGGGCGGATCAAATCGATCGGCTTAGGAACGGTTAGGATGATGTTTAGGGCCCTTTAATCAGGTCTCTTTGGAAAGGGACCCAGACAGTATCCTCCTTTCTCCTTTACTCTACTTTTTAACTGTTTACTATATGTTTTTTGGGCTTTGCATGTGTTGTTTCGTTTTATTATCCGTTTTTACCTTCCTTTTCTCCTCACTCTTTTGTTTGACTTCCCCTTGCCTCAGCTTCCTGATGTCGGCCAATGCTGCCCAAAGCCAATGCCAGATTGTTCACACAGGTGAACTTGTCGCCTTAACTCGGACTCGCCAAAAAAAAATGATGTTGCAAAAAAAGAAGACAAAGATTACGACTTACTTCGTACAATATGACTATACATACATACATATGTATATATAATATAGGATTAAATCAATTGTTGTTCTTCTTCACCGATCGTCAAAGCGACGTGCCGGTAGCTTCTTGCAGCTCTTCGCCAACAGCTGCGCCGCCTCCGAGCCTCGGCCAGCCACCCGGAGGCTGGTTCCCAGCGCCTGGGCGTCAAACGGCGAGGCAGACGGGAGTCTTCTGAGTCTTTTTCTGGATCTTCAGAGGTGTTTCATTCACAAACTGGAAGACTTAGAGACTTGCATTTTTGAAGCTAGGGCTTGCTATGAAAATCGAAAGAAAACATATAAAAACATCACGGAGATGATTCCAAAAAAGAACTCCCAAAGGTTTTGAAAGTCGAGTCAAGTTGGATCTTGGCTTGCCGGCCACTTCGGCCAGGAGGGTCTGTGGATCCGAGCTTCCAAAGCTACGCCTCGGAATCTGTGGAGAGTCGCTGCGCTCGCGACGCCATTGCCACTTCCATCTCATGTCAAACCTTTGACTGTTTTTTTTGTTTTGCACAGTCTTTTCTTTTTCTGTTACTTTTTCTTTGGTTCCCTCTTTGGACCTTTCTTCCTTCTTTACGGTGGTTCTTTAGACGTGTCTTCATTTCTTCTTTAGAGAAAAAAAGAAAGAGAGAGAAAGAGAGAGAGAGTACCAGTGTCACTGGATTTCGATGGAGGAACAAGACCTTCCGGTCAGATTCTCAGAGGTTCCTGACATGTTTGGGAGGTTCAAAGATGTTTGTTTAGTCGGCTTCATCATGAAACGGTTCATGGTGACGAGGCTCTTTGCATGCTGCAGCGCGGCCTCCTGCACTGCCAAGGCCTCCTGAACACGCCCCTTGACCTGCGGCAGCTTTCCTTCGTTTCTCCGTCACTTCAGTATGAACATTATCTTGAAACTTTCTCCAGAATCATGATTCTTCAAAGGCTTAACCTTTCTTTAGTAAAATAGGGTTCCATGATGTTCCATATTGGGTTGGAGGCAATCCCCAGTAGGGTGGAGGCCATCGCTCTCAATGGTTCCTCTGATGACTCGCCGTTTCACCGTTTCTTCGGCCTCTAGGTGCCACGCCAGCCGTTGAAAATGCCCCGCGCTCACACTGGAATGCAGGTGTCCCGAGCTGGTGCCCTCCACACAAAGAGCAGGCAGAAATACGAATGAACAGCGAAAAGTGATGTCTGATTGAAACATGCAAGGATTTCTGGCCTCAGGTTGGGTAGTGACCCTTCTCAAGGAGTCCAAGTAGGTATCTTGGAGCTGCAAGGAATTGCGGTCCAATTGATCCTGGCGATGTCGGCACTTCCAAGAAATTAATCAATTTCTGTTCTCTTGTTGTCTTTTCTTGTCCCTTCTCATTCCTTCTTTTAACCTGCCGATGCAAAAAGAATGTGTGAGGTGAGTGAAAATATGTGAAAGGCCGTGAGACTTCTAAAGGACTTCTGTGCAGGTTCAGCTTCAAATGGAACGGAACATGTTCCGACTACGTGCTGAAACCCGCGCAAGGACTTCAAATGTCAAAGCGAGTGGTCATCGACTGGACCAACCGAGGTCGACAAGATCGCCTCGCACAGAAGCTCCAGAGCCCTGCGGAAGACCTCCAAGCGAACCGTGTCGCCGTGGCCTCCACGGAAAAATCACCGTTTTTTTTCACCCAAACATCTGGTTGAGTCACTTGGGAGATCACCGGGTTGAGTCCTTTTGGGATATGTTTTTGCTTTCCCCTATTGATTCTTCGGTCTGTTGCAAGCGCAGAATGCAAGGGAAAGAAGGTTAAAAAGGGGGGGGCAAGGCAAGGGGTTGGATGCGAAGTGAAACAAGAAATCGGGTGCCTCCCAAGTGCACCACCGGCTGCTGCTTAGGCACAGCTGCAATGATGCTTCTGGAGTCGGAGTTCAGCGTGCCAGGAGGCAAGAGCACAAAAGCTGCTTGTGCTCCCATAACGTCCTGGCACAAAAGCTGCTTGTGTTTCCAACACAAATGTCCAACAAGAATTGCGTCATGGGAAGTACATGGTCCTCTTTGTAGAGAAGTTCCAACACCTCAAAGCCCAAGCAAGAGACACAACGTGCCACACCAAAGCTCCCAACGCGCCATGCTACAAAACTCAACCGATCAAACATGGCATCTCACGTACACTGCGCCTCCTGGTCTGTCCACCCCTCCTTCATGCGAGGATCATCCCACCAACGTTGCAGGAACTGAGAGCTCCAAGATGACCTTCAAAAGGAAAGCCAAAACATGACTGGCACAGTTGGGATTTCTACTCTTCAAGTGGATCAAGCATGAAACAAATTCACAGGTCCACATCTTCGTGATATTGAGCCAAATGTAGTCTGTGGTTTAAATTAGTGATATCCCACCTGAAACAGTAACCATTGACCAGAGTTTTTGATCTGCAGATATAACTGGGCACCTCCGGATCAAAATCACGTCCGCGTTGAAGAGGGACAGGGAGTTCCCAGCCCGGCCATGGGGATCGCGGCTGATGAGCACCTCCAACTCCAACTGCTCTCCCAAATCGCTTTCTCTCTCTCTCTCTCTCTTTCTATCTCTCTCTCTCTCTCTCTCTCTCTCTCTTAGGCCAAAAGGGACCGGGAAAATGAAGGAGAAACTAGAAGACTGTGAGAGAAACTAGAAACATCTAGAAAACCGAAAAATCCTCTCTCTTGCCCAAAGAAGCCCATCCGATTCTTCAGGTCCGATTCTTGCCCACCTGAACCTGCTCGGCTGCGTACTCTGTGAGAGTCCTGCGCAGCACGTCCTCGCCGAAATCCACGAAGGACGCGTCTGCACCGATCCACAGAAGCCAAGGCGCCTGGGGACGCCGCGAACAAGGCACACGAGGCCGTGCAGCTGATCTACTGTAGCAGTGTACATGTTGCAGCAGTGTAGTGTTGATGAACAAGGCATCAAACACAAAAAGGCATGAAATCGAGAGCTTCGTGAAGTGTTTACTTTGATTAAAGCTGGTGATGAAAGCTCTTGCCCGATGAACATGCATGGAAGTACAAGTAGCGGAGGGGAATCAACACGCAAACTCCGGTCAACGGCGGATTCGGAAACTAGAACCGCGGATTCAGAAACTAGGCACGGCGCGGATTCGGAAACTAGGATTGGGAAACTAGAATGGGCATGAATCGGATAGTTTCTGAATCGAGTCTGTGAGATACGAATATGTCCACGCTACATCAACACAAACATTTCATTAGATCCCCAAACCCCCCCCCACCCCCCAGTTTCTGAATCGGGTGAGTTTCTGCATTAGCGCTCTTCAGGTTCTGTTTTGGCCGACAGCTGTGTCAAGGGCTGTGCTGTTTGCGTTCATACTTTTGTACGTATATATAATTCGTATAATGTTCTATGCGCAACGTCAGGCTCTCAACCGACCATTGCTTCAGCATGTTTCAGCATGCTACACACACAATAATCGTGCTGGATACTGCTTGGCCTTGGGCGAGCGAAGCCTACGGGCTTTGCCGTTTGTGCGCATAAGATCATACGGCCTTATCATTGCTTCAAGCAAGCTACAAAATCATTAGTGGCGCTGGATACTGGTTGGCCTTGGGCCAATGACACTTACGGGCTTTGCTGCTTGCGCGCATACTTTTGTGCGCATAAACTTATACGCGCAAGATCATGCGTTGTTATTCTCCAAATAGGGATAGCTATGGCGTTCTTACTGCAAACAAGAATGAGCTGGCTGCGCGCGCTTTGAAAGGGTGTCGGTGCTGGTGCTGGTTTTGTGGTCCTGGGTGCTGGTGCCGTGAGCTGGCTGAGCGCGCGTTTAAGACGGGCGGCACGCTGGTCGGGCGCTGGTGCCGCTGCCGGTGTTGTCAGCTCGCAAAGCGCACAGCTGCTGGTGTCAGCTGGTTGTGCGCGCTGTGGAGGTTCCGTAAGCTGGCTGTGCAGGCTGCGTACATTCTTGTTCCAGCCAGTCGCATGTCAACAGGTCGTGGGATTCTGCCTAGCTATCTGGGTCTATGCTGGTGTAATTTAGTACCCTGAGGCGTTCACTGTGTGCAAAAATGTTGAAGTTGCAAATGAAACGACGGCGCGCATCTGACCAAGCCTTTTTGTACAACCAGGCTCTGTTGCTCTCAGTTCTGCTCTGCTGCTGGCAAGGAAAAGAATGACCAAAGTCTGACCGCCTTGCTTTCCAAGTCCAACTGAAAAGTCTGGCATCCAACCTGGACAGCTCATAACTCGCTATATTATCCATTCGTTCAATACATGTCAAGGATGTCAAAGCAAGCCAAAGGTAGGTCATCAGAGTCAGAGTCATCAGCTGTGATGCAGCTGTCAGCTGTTTGGGGCAAGAACCTCGCTTCAGCCGAAGAAGTCCCCCAATTATCACAAACTGATGTAATGTGTCTTCGGACTCACTTGCATCTGTAGCAAGTGAGTGAATTTCTTGAAAGACAAGGACTAAGAGCTTGCTGGACGGAGGGCACATGCAGGGCAAGGCCGCAGAACATCTCCAGAGTTTCCAAACAACCAACTGCTTGAATTGGACTGAATTTCACCTACGCCGCTAAGTTGTGATTTCCAACGCGGGGCACATCAAAACGTACAAATCTGCTTCACAACACGATGGGGGGCCTCGATTCATTCCTGCAAGTGCGAGCATGGAAGATGTCCATGCTTCTAGTGCTGGGCAACTGTACTCTGGGAAGGAGACAAATTTAATCAAACTATGTCAAACTTAGGATGATTTAGGATTGGTGCTTGGGTTGCTTACATCCTTCCCAGATGGATGGCAGCGAACCGAATCACCGGAGCCACCAGTTTGCGCTTCCGGAGCTGACCGATCAAATGGATCGAACGCAGCGACCTCGGCCAACTGGCGACCACACACCTTGCGACTCGGCGAACAAAGAGAATGATAATGTGGCAGTTCTGAGAAAAGAGGGCGACCTTCTCAGTGTCGTCTCGGACTGACATCAGCCAGCTTTTGCATCGCCACCAGAACTTTGCCAAGCAGATATGCCCAAAGAGCCATGAAGATCTTGGTTTTGTAAAAACAACTGTGATAAAAATGATATCTAACATACCTCTTCAGATCTTCAGTGGGGTTGCCACTGGACATACAACACGTAGTTATGTCAGAACCATACGACGAACAATAGTTAAACATGTCGTTTCGTGTTGTTTGTCAACCAATGGTGCGTCGATGCCCCAACCACTGTGCAAGAGATACAGAAGGAGGGCTGCTGTCAAAACAAACGCCCGTTGCTGCAGTTTGTGAATATATATATATATATATATCAAACAAACCATATTCCCAGCTACAGCCCCTTCCCAAAACTACCGAGGCATGGGCAAATGCTAATGCAAATGAATGCGCTTTGATATTATGTTTTAAGGTTTTCTTGTGTCCTGGTTTGAATTGAACGTGTTATAAGAATCATTAAATTCCATCACAAAACTATGTGATTGAAGCAGCATCTGCGCAAATACTGGAAAGGCATCACCTCAATCCACTTGCATAGTGTGCATTTGGCACACTGGCACCCGTGGCACCTAGAGCAAGGGCCAGGTGACCCGAGATTTAAACAAAACCCCTGCGAAAATCAACACGATGCGGATGGATCAGCAGAAGTGAGAAGAAGTGGGGCGCTCCTACAAATGGATGAGACTGTGTCATCTATAAACTAAGGCTGGTTGCAACTAAGGTGTTCTTACGGTGAGGGAAAGGCAGGGTTCACGTTTGTCGCTGGGCCTCTTCTCTTGGCAGCACAAAGTGCTTATTTCGGCTCTCGTGTGCGCGCGCGGGCATACATTGTTCTATTTATCTCCAGCATGAGAAGGCTTCTACTGTAGATTGACAATGTCAATAAAGAAGCCGCAAGAGGGTCAAGCTGTGACCTGTTCAGCTAAATAGACATATAAATAAGCACACGGGCAAAATTAAGCAAAGCAGCCCAAGCCGACCTATCTACTTGTGCAAAGTGCATCAAAGTGCTCTTGTAATGTTCTATCTGTTTGAAGGCCTTTGAATTCATACTTTACTCTCTGAGAGGAAGGAGCGCCCCACACCAAAGCTTCAGCCGCAGCTTGCCAAGCTACCAAAACCCTTCACCGCCCTCTCCAATCTATTGGCTGCAGGCATTCAGAAAGAATGTTAACAATAGCCAATGACCAGCTTACAGTAGTTGTGTCCGGGCGGCAAGGAATGAGTTTGCAGCCAAAATGTACACAATGCTTCTGCAGGCGATATACTGTAGTAGTTTAATGGTTTGCGCAAAGAGAGTGCCCAAAGCAATCCTTGTCCTAAGCACCAATCCTTCAAAAAAGTTAGGACCAGGAATGCGGGGCCCGAATGCTGCACCGCTGTTGCAGCACTTCAATAGCATATTGGATGCGTGGCAGCGTGCGACAAGGGCAAAGGTTGACCAAGCGGAGAAAACCTAGGCAACAAACTGCGTATCCCTTGCTGCTGTTGCAAATGAGTAGTAAAAATACACAAAGCTTCGAGGTGCCACTTATGTTCCAGCTACGACGACGATGCTCCGTCGATGCACGAGTCCACAGCGAAAAGCCGTCCTTCTGTGCCCTTCCGAGCAGCTCATCTGGCTCAACACTCGATTCAATTTGGCCAACCTGTCACAAGCTTTGGACGGTGCTCCCAAGAAACGCCGAAACGTCACAAGGGTTTGGTGTTGTTTGACGATGTTTTTAGATTTTTTTGCAATCAGTCTGATTCGGATTCACCAATGATAGTCGCTTGCTAGCTCAAAAACCCTGCGACTATTTCCACAGCTTTCAGGAAACTCGCAAAGCCAAAACCGTGTTATTAGCAGTCAGTTTTTACTGCAAATCGCATATCAACATGAACTCCGAGGAAAAGCAAATGCCAAAGAATGCCAGCAAACTGCAGCAACACAATCCCAAAACCGCCAAAACAATCCAAACAACAACCAACCAAAAATTGAGGAGTTGGAAGGTCCAGGGTCCAGGCTCTACCAACTTTCCAAATAAAGCGATCCGTCGACTCGTAGGGTCCCAACTCGACAGGTGGAAAGACTGTGTCAAAGAAAAGCTGGTCGGCCTCCCTCGAATTTGTGACGAAATAACACGTCGCTGATTCAAGGAACTTCCAGAAAGAAATCCAGTTGTTCCTCTCGCTTGGCATCTGGGCGAGGTGCTGCTCCATCAGCCCAAGCACCTCTACCCGTTTTGCGAAGTGAGCGCAATGCCGCCACCCCTCTTTCCAGCTCTATCAATTATGGTATAAATTGCTTCATGAGTGCAGGCAGTCAAGTGATGCTTGGACACGAAAAGTGTCGTGCACAATTGTGCCTTAGCTGAGAAGAACCAAAATCGAATGGATACGTACTTGTTTGAGGCTGTTTGCAACGATTGCAGGCCACTGGGTGTTGAGTTTTGCGTGTTTTTTTTGATTTTATGGTGCTGCTGATTTCCACACATCAAACAATTGTAAAAGTGACATCGTGTCGAGGATGCCTGGGGCAAGTCCTCGAAGTTCTGATAGAAAACGGATAAGGCCATGAACCCGAGAACTTAGAACCAATACGTCGAATCATTCAACAAGCAGCCATGAATTCAAGGGTACTGTTCTTTGGATGATTTGTTTACAGCACTCAACTGTTTGGAAAGGTTGCAAACACACATTAGACCATCTACGATACATGTTTGAACCATGTACAACTCACTGATTGCAATGCAATCATTTAGCAAACCACCACGGAGTTGGTGCTTCATTTTGGCAACCAAAACTGGAGGCCAACCAAAAAACTGATTTTACAAGGGTCTTTGTTCACCCACCCTCCGTCTTCAGGATGGGCTTCCACTCTT